TGAAGGACCGCAATGCCTAATGTCAACAAGCCAAGTTCATTGAAGTTCGGTACAACAAAGTCTATGGCTTCCCAGAAGACATCTTCATTGTCTACAATGACCAAACTCCTGATGCTACCTATGATGCAGAAATCACCAACTTCATGATTCAGTAATCAACCCATAGTCATATATATAATACATCATCTAAAGGACAATGTTCATAGGTTAGTGTGTATTTAAATACTCACCTATGACTTTGTGCTGCTGTAAATGTGCCTAGTTGGCGCTGATGTGAGAATTGACATCGGCAGCTGTTGTCGGATGATCCACATGGCTCATCATTGACCATGCAGGATGCCTTCTCTCCGACCACGATTCACTCGCTTTTTAACTAGTCAGCTTCTAAAAGCGACAATCCCAGCGAAGAGCCTTCAAGAGTTAAAGCCGTCCCCTCATTGGAATTCTATGGAACATGGGATGGCAGACATGTCTTGACTCATTACAGTCAACCAAGTTGGAGAACATGGGTAAGTCACCGGTTGTCAGAAGTATCAGAAGAGATGAGAAAAGCATATAGATTTTTTACTTTCTCTCCTCTGCTTCCTGCTGAGTACCAGGTAACGAGGAGACGCCATTGTTGAGCCCTCTTCAGTCGATTGATTGATTGATCGCTCCCTCTTTTTATCAACTGCTACGGAGCAAGGCTGCATAACTCCAGGCATATCCTGAGCCTGTCGTTGAGTCATTGAAAGGCAACAGGAGGCTACACGACATTTCGCCCACACGAGAGTGCATTTTTCTATCGGCCGACTGGATTGATTCGATCATTCAGATTGAGCCCTCCTGTCAGTTCCCAGCTACGGTAGTGTTCATACGAATCTTGCTAGCTACTGTAGAGCAAGGGGAGGAAGGGGAGTGACTGGATTTTAAAAGTAAATTTACTGAAACAGGTCACCAACTCCCAAATCCCTAGCTAGAACACAACCTGGAGGCAAGTAGCGTACACAGCGACAACGAGAGTTCACAATCAAGTTTGGTCACGTTTCGACGCTGCTTTTAGACCGTCAAGGTTGTCGGGGTGCACTCCCATCTTGTGCAACCTGTCCAACAATTGAGCTTTTTTTGCCTCACGTGTTGGAGCATCCCCGGTAAAGTAGGCTTGGACTCCAGATGTCTTCATATGCTGCCGAAGCCTGGCTTTGTAGCCCTCAGGATCTGCCGTTTCGTTGAATATGTATAATGTAGGACCATCGTCTGGTCCCTGTGGCCGCCTTTTGCGCCGAGGCCGTGTTGCGTTCTGGGGCAGTCGTTTCCCCTGCAGCTGGGTGCGCAACCGCAGTTCTGGTGCTGTCCTGTCCCGCGGCCGAAACATGTCAGTGTGAATTAGTTCTGGTACTGTTCTGTTCCTTCGATTTTGTTGCATTGCGGTCCTATTTTGCTTGGGCGGCGTCTTGACTTCCCAGAGGGGTCGATCTTGTTCTATTCTGGCTTGACACTGTGTTCTCCATTCGTCCAGAGATTGCGAGCCAATACCACAAGAAGTCCGGACTTTCTCCAATCCTTTTTGTTTGACATCGTCATCCAAGTTTTTGACCTTGAACAAGAGCTTCAGATAATAAAAAATTTCCCTTTCCAGTACACAGCACATCTTTTGGTATGCTGCTGTGGACACCGGTGACGGAAAATAGGATTTGCTGCCATGGAAATGGCACTGCCTTCCCTTTTGAAGACACCCGCGCCACCAAGGGCCACGTCCAAATCCCCAAGATCCTTCCACTCATGTTCCGTGCGAATTCCAAACACTTCCTTGTCCGGGTATTTGAGGACGGTGCGATTCATGTAGTACTCGTAATTGTACAACATGTGTGGATTGGGATGAATGGGTCCTAAACCCCGTGCCATGCGATGTGCCATTCGTCGACACAATTTGGGAGATTCCTTTTGATATTGTAGTGTTTCATTAGCAAGATGGCTCGTGTTGAATTCGGCATAAGGAGACAGCACCGCCTGCGCAAAATCTTCCATTCCAGGCGACGGCCAGCATCGTCTGTGGACTTGATAATCGGCCGTTCCTCGTGTTTGGGAGCTTTCTTCGATATGGCACCCATAGGGCTTGAAGGGACCTTTCCGCAATTTTCCGCGGCAATTGGCTGGATGGCTATATCGATAACTCGAAATGAGTCGATCGACGGGGTGTCGTAGAACCACCAGAAAGCTGGTGGATTTGGCCAGTTCTTCGGGCCGATGTCCATGCATGTGAAAGTAGTATTTCACTTGCCGTGGCAGTGTCAAATTGCTATAGAATCGTTTGTTGACACAAGTTTCAACCTGCTCCTCGCTTTGGTTGAAGACGACTCTCACAATTTGACCATCAATTTCTTTCTTTTTTCCAACACCCATTGGCCGGCAGACCAGACCGGTGGAACTCCGAACCGTCAAGCCTCCAGCTTTCCCAATGTGGATAAAGGCAATGGTGCGATTGGCATCGTAGTTCCTCCAATCCTGGGCAGCCGTTGTGAGACCCCAATTGGCTTCCATTCCAGTGCTGTGAAAGACCATCTTGCCACTTGTTGCCAGTTCGATGCCAGTCTTCTTCCATATTTCAGAGGGATTGAATCTAGATGAGACCGGAATGAACGATACCAACGACAGGGTCACACCAATGGCCACCACCACACAGCAAATCCACAAGAAGTTTCTATTGCTTCGCCCTTGAAGTTGGGGTCGTTTCCGTTTTCGTCTCACCAATCTCATGGTCTTTCCAATGTGAGCTGTTTGCTGTGCACTTTTAGCTGGGCATGATGTGGGCAGAGAAACCAAGTCTTTTCGGAAATTTGAGACGCCTTCGGGATATTTTGGAAACGACAACTTTGGCCAGTTTGGCTATGGCACACCTCCAGTATGCACGGCTGGGTGCACATTATTCTAGAAGAGGGTTAAAGAATAATATCCCAACGAACAACTCACACAGCTCACAATCCACAACAGTCAACCATGCACTGAATACCATGACAGATCCAGAAAACTAACCATCAAAGGCTTCACGGCTATCTACACGCCGTAAGACGAATGGATACTCGGGGCGAGAGAAAACGGGCGCCGTGTAGGCTTCCCCAAACCAGTGGTGGTTGTTGAGACTTCGGAAGTTGCCGTCGTCCCCCCAATTTCAACCGGGTCAATGGCTGGATTTTGTAGTGCCACCGTACGAGTGGGTGGGGGGATTTTCAACCGCCAGTCAACCAGAAGAGGCCTCCCCCCAAAAAACAACCTTTTTGGGCCCATTAAAAAAAATCCAATTTCCAACTCCACCCTCCCGGTGGGTGCGCATTCCCAAGAAAGTACCGAGATTGGAAGGACCGTGCACGTGCACACGATGGGCAAGGAACCGTGATGTGCTGGATACTCAACTCGACAGAAGATTGAGACTCAACCGGTCGTCCTTTGTGCCGGTGGCATTGGCATTTCTCCCGTACTCAGCATGTATCGACAGTGGACGCAACTACTACAAAATCGCAACCAAACCCCGCCATCCTCTTTCTCTACTCGGTTCGACCGAAAAGAACAGTGTTTGGTGACGAGTTGGTGCAAACGTGTTGTTGGCGCATAACACTAACAGCAGCCACAAGAATCGGCATTCCCTCTGCTTTTCATTGACCCAACAAACCGCATGGAAGGATTCTTCCAAACAGGATTTGGAATCCAAAGGAGTGCAATGCCGAACCGGTCGTTTTATGAAGGAGTTTCTGACAGAGGCAGACGATACCTCAGCGTTCTACTTGTGTGGTCCACCGGCCATGCTCGATGAAGGGGTTGATCTACTGCGAAAACGAGGGATTGCAGACACCAATATACATTTTGAGCGGTGGTGGTAAGAATAATAACAATAGAATATTCAGCAAGTGATTGGAATGTCGTCACGTCGCTACTTTCCGGAAGGATATTGCGTGAAATGGGGAGGATGACGAGTAAGTACCGAGGGATCTTCACATTCTGAAGCATCCCATGGACATTCATGCTCGTCGTGTAGGAGTTTGCTACATGGGCACCCTCTTTCAAGTTGGCCTGATCTTCTTTAGCTACCGTAGTAGAAATGTTCTGTTTCCAATCGAGAGAAGTCAATTCTCCAAGTTCCTCGGACCTTCTGTCACCTCGAAGCTTACATCACTGCCTCCTTGCGCTTGCGGAGCACCATCATTGAAAATCAAATGGCGTTAGGTTCTTTTGCGGCTATTTCTCATGGTTCCGAAAGACCATTAGTTAGTTGCGCGTCTATCTAGCTAGATAGCCAGCCAGAGTTGCAACAGGAAAAAAAGTTGCATTCCGAAGAGAGGGGGCAGCAGGAAGCACCGCTTCCGCCCACCCATTCAACCAAAATTTACAGACCGGTCCATCCAAGCAAACCTGATCGATTCATTGAATCATTCAATCAACGTGGGGTTACGAAAAAGTCATCCTGCCAGAATCGTTCCGTCCCTCTTTCGATGCAAACGTAACCCAGGGAGGGGACAGAAGAACAGCGAAAAGGTTTCATCGGTGCCAGACTAGCAACCAAGCAAGATCTCACTACAGTGAAGCATTCGCTTGAAGCATCATCTATCTGACTGCTGCTTGTTCCGAGCAAGAAATGTGGCTGGGCCCAAACGTATTCGGAAGGAGGACCCAGATGAACCCAATGCTCGGATTGTTGCTCCGTGTTGCCAACCCAAAGTGTGAATGGTGGCAGGTACCCCAGTAGCTATCGTAGTACCCATGTCAATTGACCAGTGCTGGTTTCCCAGTCCATGAATAAGGAGGAACCAGGCAGAGTCCCCGACCAATGTCAATTATTCAGGTGCTGGCTTCCTAGTCCATGAACAAGGAGAGGTGCCAGGCAACGTGCTTGGCAACCGAGACGTAAGAAGTCCCTGCTTCTTGTAGGTCGTATGGTACCGGTATTGATAGCTAGCCAATGCATTCAGCAACAGAAATGGGTCCAGTGATGGCTGTACTATCGGTGAACAGGCAATGGCTAGTTTCGTGACGTTTCGTCTCCAATCTTACAAAGACTTTTGGAAGATCACGCGAGGATGCGGGCAACCACCAGGCACCGGGATCTCTCTTTGGCTTCCTTGTAGCTTTGATCCCATTCCCACTGATCGCTACCGATCCTACCATTTTGGATGTCGATCATCCAAAACGAGTCACACTGGAATTCTGGTGGCTGTAAACCGTAGCTCTAGACTACTAGCTAGCTAGTAGCTAGTCCACAGTCCACCCACTTGAATGGACCAGGTCGGCTGTTGAATCCCCGGTGCTGTCGTGGCAAAGCGCAACGGTATTGCGGAGAGAGATGACTGTCACTAGCTAGCTCTGTCACTCGACTTGTAACCCGTACCGGTAAAGCAGACAGCAGCCCAGCAGCAGTTTATTTAGAAAGTGTGAGGAGGGAAAGGAGAAAAGAGCAAGTCATTTGGTCTTTTCGGGTACGGAACCTTTTAAAGCACAGTCCCCCAGAAGTGTTCTTTTTCTGTCTGGTAAAAAGTTGAAGAAAGTCAGATGCTTTGAACTAAGATGGGGTAAACAGTGTCTAACAGCTACCTTTATAACTGCAGCTGTTACTAGGTAATATGCCGCGATGTTGGTGAAGGGTACAGTTTTACCTCAGCTACCTCTACAATTTCTGTCGTGAGACGATTACTCAAGAGTACATTCAAATACCTTACCGTGTCATTTGGTTTTGCTTGGGGTATCCAATTGTGAACAGATACGCTTTGACGTGGTTTGAAGATTTTGATCATCATCGAGTCAGTCGCCCAACAAAGAAAGCACCTTCTCTAAGAGCCAAAGACACCTTGATCTGACATTCGATGTCGCTGGATTCTTTACTGTTTAGGAGTTATGAGAGCATGTGCACGTTTGATCAACCCGGAGGCCGGAGAAACGAGAGAGCGAGAGACCCAGAGAGTGACTTCCCACGAGTGACCTGTGAGAGTCGCCATTTTGAATCGTAGTCTCTCCGCTCACAAAACCGAACCGCCCATTTCAATTCAGCAACAGACACATACAAAGCAACCACAACCGAAGTCACAACACTCCAGTATTCCCACCAGAACACTTCCCACGGAAGAATACCAACACACACAACACTCACAAAACCGAAAACATGGCAACCACAACCACTAGCAGCCCAGCTCTTCAGAGCTATTTCGCCAACCTCTTTGCTGGAGCCACCATTCTCGGCGATGTCGAGATTGTCAGTGACAATGCTCGCTTGCCACCACAGAGCGAGACCAAGACTCCCGTACCAACCACACTGCCAGACATCTCATTCGCCTGCCGATGGGAAAGCAACAGCGTAGTGCCCAAACCAAGCTTGCCACAGCGCCAAATCTCCATCGAGTTGCCCTTTAGCGATGATTCGGACGACGACTCGGACGACGAAGACACTGTGACGGACTTGAGTTGGAGTCTCGGCAGCAGCAACCACAGCAATAGCAGCGGTGAACAACATGCGTCGGCACTCATGACCACTCGTTGGATGCCCAATGCTAAATTCTCAGCATCACCCAAACGCCCTGAGCGCAGTCCCATTGTCAAGTCAGACTCCTGCGGCTCTGTTTCCTCCAGCTCCACCAGCAAGAGCTTGTTGTCCTCGCCTGTCAAAAAGATGAGTAGTAGACGGCGCAACTGAATGCCGGAGCAAGAAGGAGAAGAGCAATAGAGACCTCCTTCTGCGAACCAGCAACCAATGGAAATTAAACAAAACATGCATAACTAATAGTGTTGGAGAGAAGGAACTGTACAAAACCACAAAGAGCTAAAATGTGTAATAAAATAAAGAAGAAACTGTACATAAACACACTTGTTTCATACGTATGAGTTTTATAGGGTCGGGTCGGATTTGGCTTCTGCTTCTTGCTAGAGGAGGATCTGCTGGATACTCATGCTCTCGTCTTGCGCTTCTTATTGGCTGGTTCCTTGGCTTTCTTGTTGGCTGGAGCCTTGGCTTTCTTTTTGGCTGGTTCCTCGGCTTTGCCGTGCGTCTTCTCGGCCTCCAGAGCATTCTTGGCGGCTCCCTTGTACATCCCAATAAACGTGTCGACTTTGAACTTGCGTTTACACCCATTAAAGTTCATGAACCGAATTTTGCCAAACACTTCACGCTCTTTCCAGCCTGTAATAGATAGATGGAGAAACCGTGAGGTGCCATTGTAGATGGCGACAAGCAGGAAAAATTTTGCGCTACTCACCCTGGTCGTGAAGGCCAAAGATGGACCAGGAGACTCCCACAAACCCATTAGGATCTAGCAATAGCAGGGTGATACAAGATGTCGAATGGGAGACAAAGAGCTTTTCATGTGAGCACAACGATGTCGCAGTCTACTAGTAAGCACAAAAGCGGCTGATTGCTGGAATATCTCATCATCTCACCTCGTCCATCCAAGGCATACTTGTCGTTGAAATACTGTGCGGTTCGAAGTGCAATTTCCGGTGTTTCGGTCCATTCTAGAATCTGAAAGAGGGAGCGTTAGAGTATGCAGTTTCGGCAGAGACAGACTCGATACATTTCAAGGGCTCACCTTTTTGGCCCAGTACATCCTCATGAACCCGTGCATTCGTCCTTCCCGGACAACCTGCAACTGCGCCGCATTCCACAGAGCATCATGGGTGCGGCCCTCTTCAAATTCTTGCAACGTATAAAGGTACTCTCGCTCATCGGCGGTATGAGTTTCCAACGTTTCCTTGGCCCAACCCGCTGCTGCATCGAGGGAATCGTATTCATGGGGTGTGTAATAGACGTAATTGTCACTCAGTTCCTTTCGAATGAGCCCTTCTTCGACAAACGAAGCCGTTCCAGTGGCGTACTTGTTGATTTTCTTGACTTTCATCAAGATGGTTTGAAATCCCACATGCCCATAATTGAGCCAGGGAGACAGATCCGAGCAAATATTGGGGAGCGTGGGATCGTTGCGCTTGTCGGCAAATTGCTTGAGGCCTCCCTTTTCGACAAAGAATTGATACTTTTTCATACCCCCTTTAAAACCAGGCTCAGCGGCCCAGTCACATTCCGGCACGGAATCATCGAGTTGCAAGTATCGTTCGTATGCGGGGCGGTCAAATGGGTCCAGCTGCAACTTGTCCACCTGCTCTTGTGACAAATGATCATTGCCCGCAAAGGCTGGAAAGTCATCCATGAAATCGTGCACCAGTTTATTGATTTTGGATCGCAATGTCCGTGCGCCCACTTCTCGTTTGGGACTGGCCAACCAACAGGGGACTACGTTGTGTGCATCGACTTGGAAAAAGGGAATCTTGCGCTTGTCGAGAAGTGGCACTGTCTGCAATTCATTCCATTGTCGAAAATGTCGGAGCGGCGAAAAATCGCAAACGATGCATTTGGCCTTGTAATCGGCGGCTATTTTGTCAATTGCAGGTCCCACGGCATCCCGTGATTCCGGCACTACAATGTGCAAGGGTACCTTTTCCTCCTCGAGTTCTTTATGAACCTGTTCCATGCCTCCAATCAGAAACTTGCCGTGTCGTTCATAGTGCGGCAAATCGTCCACCTTGGGAGGGAGGTTGCCGGAAGCAGAGGCAGCGGTAGATGGCGGCGGCGGCATGACATACATAACCCGCAAGGGCAAGCCAGATGTTTCCGCATAGTGTTTGGCCAACAACAGTGCCCAATTATCCACCGTCCGCATGTCTCGTTGCATCCAGTAAAAAACGGCACCCGTCTGGGACGTTGGTGACGAAAAACTGGTCGTGACGGTCGACAAGATGCGCGTTCGTTCTGGCATGATCCATTTGGGTAGTTCGTCCTTGTCAATGTGCTTGGCAGGGGCGTTGTTGGTTAAAACTGCTGCCATGGTTCTACTAGTGACACAATGACGGTGATGAGATGGCTTAATAATCTTGGGAACAATGACAAACCCAAATGTCAGGGATGTCCTCAAGGAAAGGAGAAGGCAACTGGCAATGATGGACAAACAGGAAACTGACTGAACCAAGGGAGGTCTCCGGTAGAGGCGGTATTCATGCATGTGCTGCTACGCTACTCAACGAGGATTGTGATGGAAATGCCCAAAGTATTGATCATGACCACATAGCTACGACTGTACTGTACTACTAGCGAAGGATGTTGATGAGAGATGAGAGTGCAAAGGGATGAGGTTCAAAGACAAAGATTTGTGCTGACTGAGTCACTCAGAAGCTGAAAAGGGCTTCATGTTCGCGAAAGCGGCACATGACGTGGACCCAATCACGAAATGGAGAAGCTGTAACCCTATATTTACCCTTTCTACCTTTTGGTAAATTACCTATCTTCCAGAGCTTCAGTGGCGAAGGGGCAAAAAACAACGTGACAACGTGTCCGTGCTCGTTTTCAATCAGTCATTGCGCCTGGGCGTTACTACTACAGTCACACAACAATGAGTGGGAGCCGAAACAGCCTGATAAAGTTACTGTCCAGTCATTGCTTTTGCACGATTGCATCGTATCTTGCCGCGTTGTACCCTGAACATGCCCAATAGCACAGCTCTCCTGGTAAAAGTAAGAAGTGCTGAAGAATTCAGAGACCCAGGTTCGAATGACTCGACTTCAAGAAACTGGAAAACTGCAATCATTGCTTTCAAGTCTATTTCGTCCTCTGAATGGTTTTGCTTTGGTACCGGGGCCGCAAGGTATCAAAGTTTCAAAGCCACATTTCGTAAGATTACCTTCCAAAAAGTACAAGTACCTTATCGCTGAGACATAAATCATTGATGTCGAAGAGCCTATGACTTGATTGGGTAGCTGTAGATCAAAAAGAAACAATGGATTGATGTTTTACCCCAACTTTATTCAAAGCATGCTTTGTCATCTTGTGCCAGAGGGGGGAAACCGAGTACTCCACGATATCGCTCGTGTCTGGATCTGCAGTACATGTAGTAAGTTTCACAAGACTCGAGGTACCTTGTACTGGTGAGCCTTTTTCAAGTTGCCTTCATCCTCCACCCTTTGAAGTTGTCTCATACTTTCGAGCTTCGAAACTATTACAAGCTCACAAAAACAACACTCGAAACGTCGAAACTACTGTATCACAAAGCTCACAAAAAGCAACATTCAAAGCGATCAAACAACACACAACAAGCAAAAGAAAATTTCTCTGATTGAACAAACAGCAAGCATCCATGAGTTCCAACGGAAACAACACTGATATGATGGTTGATGAGCCAATTCCTGTCAAGCTTGATACCAGTCCTTCAGGGCCGAGCAAGCGCCTCTCTGTCAGGTCGTCAAAGTTTGACCGTGGCAGCAAGGGATTTCTGGATGAAGAAGAGCAGCTTCTAAGGAAGTATGATCTCAATGGAGATGGCAAGATTGATGCTGGAGAACTTTTCAACATTGTGGCTGACCTCAAGAAGGAGCATGGAAAGAAGAAGAACCTCAAGAAGGGACTTGGCATCTCTTTAATTGCACTTGTTTTGCTCCTTACCATGTCCTTTGGTCTTGTCTGGGCAGTCGTGGCCCTCACCAAAGAGGTTGTGGTGGATAGCAGTGGACACTTGGTGGACTCCCATACTGGACTAGTTGTGGAGACCAGGCCTGAGGCCAGTCTCATTGCACTCACTGCTGACAGCAGCTTCACTCGCAGGTTTCTCATGAGGAAGCTACAAGATTCAGTTGGGTTGGACGCGGCAAGGTCCAATGATCTGGACGAAGAAGGAAGGGAGAAACTTGGAACTGCTCCCAAGAGTGACATCACAGGCTCTTATACGAAGTTCCAGCGTAACTCTGAAAACTGCAATGCTGTGGTGACTGTGGATGGCGTGGAGTATACACGCACAATGAACCTTGGACGCATGGGCAGACGGGTGGATGAAGTTGAAGACACTCGCAATCGCAATTTGAATGGTGATGGTGAAGGAGATCGCCCTCGTCATCGCCGTAGGGCTCGATACCAGAGTATCTACATGGATTCCGACCCTGATCAGGAGTTCCAGGTGGACTGTGATGAGGACACGGATGAAGACTGTGAGGTATACTCTGTTGGTCATTTCGTAACACCATCATCTGGCCGAAGATTGGATCAAGTTTCTGCGTCACAATGTGATGATGATGATGATTGCAACGGTGGCTTTGAATGCCAGAAAATCTGGGGAGTCGGATACTGCAAGTGTGATGTGGACACAGATTGTGATTACCTTCTTGAGAGTGGTGGTGCCCACTACAGTTACCGAACCTACACGAATGTGGATGCTCAATGTCCCAGTTCCTATGTGTGCAGAACCTACTATGACTGCTTCTCTGGCTCCATGACAACCATGACACCTGAGGGGCCCAAGAGAATGGATGAGCTGAAGATCAATGACCTGGTGCTGACTTCCTCTGGCCAATTCCAAAAGGTATATGCTTGGCTCCACAGGACTCCTGAAAAGCTTGCTGCAAGTCAAGCCAGGGAATCAGAGTACCTCCAGATTGTCACAGAGACTGGAAACAAGATTGAAATGACCCCCAAGCACATGATCTACATCAACGACAAGCAGTACCCTGTGGAGGCTGGCCATGTTATGGTCGGCGACTACTTGTCCCTCATGGAGTCTGGTCATGCCGCCACCACCACCAAGGCCGCCAAAGTGACCGCCATTAACACTGTCAAGCTCATGGGAGGCTTCTCTCCTGCCACTGAGGATGGAACTATTGTTGTCAACGGTCTTCTTGCCTCCTCCTACAACAACCCTCGCTACACTGATAATGAATATGTGTTGGTTGCTGGAAAGCCCTTGATGCACAGGCAGACATTCACCCACTTGATCACCTCTCCCCTTAGGTTGCTCTGTATTCATGTCAGCAGCTCCTTCTGCGAGGTGGATATGGATGAGGAAGCATTCTTGCCTTTCTCCAAGGGCGTTGACAAGCTCTATGTTGCCTCTGCAGATGCTGGAGTTGTGGATACTGTGTTGATGCTGACAGGCTTTGTAGGAATGCTGGCCCATGGAATTGAGCTGTTCTTCAAGATGTTTGGCCTTCCCTTGATGGCCTCTGGGTGTGTTCTTGCCATTATCAATGCTGTGGCACCCTTCAACTTCAACATGCAGATTGTGAGCAAGGCCAAGAAGGTTGACTAATGAGTGTGAATTCCCTATATGGCTTGTGCATGTGTTCATGAAGAAGAAACTCCATAAATGGCAAGTGCTATCTCCAAGATAGCTGTAGGCTAAATATTAAAAAAATAGAAAAAGAAATTGCATGTTACTAATGGCACTGTGGCAGTCAGTGGCGTCCTTGATGCGCCTCCATTGTACCTAGCTCGCTAGTTGCAGAAGGGGAGTCCAGAAGCAGGTTGTAGTCTCTATACCTAGTTCTGAGCATTCCAACTCAAAACCCCGCATGTTGGGTGGCCCTAAAAGCTTCCGGTTCGTGGAGAGGAGGTGTAGAAAAGTGTTTGTGGATGTTCATGTACATGCAACAAATCATTTGGATGCCATGACTTCAGTTTTCTCTCCCATACTGGCACGGATAGAGTGACGAGTCCAATAAAGCCAGCTAGCATTTAGTAAACAACTATGATGGGGTTTTGAGATGGTGGATTATCTACGGAAGCCAGCAAGGGCCAGGCTTTTGGTGCTTTCGCTACCGCATGTGGAGTGTGCGTCCGCAGCAAACCGTGTCCCGCCAACCCTTTTGTTCTCACCATGAATGAATGCCATCAATGCAATCTTGTCTCTACTAGTACAATATAAAATCATCTACACTCAACCAGAGGCACGGTACCTGGTACCGTACGACTGCACCAACTACAGGTATTCACTACTACGTTCCAAACAAACGACTCGATTAGTCTCTCACACCGAAGCCTCTATCATCTATACAGGATTGATCCATTGTGGTTCATTGCTCGGCGGCGTGTCTGCTGGCTGTTCCATGAGTTCCATCAAAATACCACTGCTGGGAAGTAGTCGGTATCCCGCATCGGTACTCATATCATGTACCGTCTCGGCGGCGCCGTACCACTTGGAGGCAACAAAGTAGTAGAGGACTCCGCCCCCCATGAGCGCTGCCAGGAAAAACTGGAAGAGTCCACCCCATCGAGTTCGCTTTTGCTCTCCCGCAGGACGGTATCTCTTGGTGAACTTGGGAAGTTGTCCTCCGTTGTGATAGTCAGACACGGTCCGGTAGGCAATGGTCTTCATGAAGGACCAAACGTCCTCGCCACCGGTGTGTGGTGGCTGGTAGGTAATTTGACGAACATCTCGTCCCGTCATGGTGTTGACGAGCACGGCCGCACAGAGGTAGTTTCCCAGCACCGAGGGTGTCTTGCGGTCGGCTTCGTAGAGACGGTCAAACAAATTGGAGGCATCGTAGTCTTGGTAGACTCCCAAAAAGGCCCAACCGCAAGGAGCAATCTTGACTTGAGCACGGGGATTTTCTTCCTCGAGTTCTCGATAATAGAGCTTGTATCCATGCTCGATCATATCCTGCATCTTTTCAAACGACGTGTAAATGTCCTTGTTGTAATTGTCGGGAGAACCATCCATGTAGGCCGGAGTCTGCAACAAGACTGTGGTAGTGGTCGAACCAGCTTCTTGTTGGATGAGACCCTGGAGACTGTGCAAGGTGTTGACACTGATTTCCCACATTTCTTCTCTCGAGTTGTTATCGTCCGGAGGAGTGTAGCCAGGAACCTCGCGGTCTTCTTGCAAGACCACATAGTTGGGTTTGTTACCACTACTACTACTCGTTAAGCGAGCCGATATCTCTTGTCTCGATTGCAACAAGAGCTCGGTCAAATTGCCCTCTGTAGGAGACGGAAAGGAATCGACCACGACAGATTCTTCTGCGTCCTTCGAGTTTTGAAGCTCTACCAACATGGCACGCACCATCTGATCCAACGACCGATACCCGGAAGCGGGGCTTCCACCCAACATCACGACGCCCATTGGTTCGGCGAGGACTGCCATTGCCGAGGATAGAAACAACAGATACAGTGATTTGATCAACATCATGATATGATATGATAGGAACTCTCTCGTCAAGCTAATAAGAAAAAGAAACAAGGTGCGAAACCGCTTCGCGAGAAAGAAAATGAAGCCAAAAGTTGGGCTCGGATTCTTTCCTGCTGCTTCGGGAGAGTCTTCGGAGGGAGAGACATCTGTGTGGGCATCATGGTGTTGCGCATGCACGTTGAAATCCCGACGAATGAATCTCCGAGGCTGGCACAGATTCACAAGCATTCGATTCGAATCATTCAATTCGATCTGAGTCAGTCGTTGTTTGCTTCTTTCTTCTGAAAGATTGAATCACGAACCCGTACAGTCGTACCAGGCCAGCCAGGTGTCTGAGAAACGAAAGAAGTTCGTAAGTGAAAGCGAAAACCCTAATCAATCACACTTTCAAGGGTCCGGTCACAGTTAGTTTGGCCTCGCTCCCATGCTCCCACGTCTCTATCCCAAGTGAAACTCAGTTACCGATAGTAACTGTTGTCGTCAAAGAAATGGAACAAGTGACGAAGCAGGAATGCTTCTCCAACCCCTTGCTGCTCGTTTGCAATCCTAGCTAGGAGTAGCTTGCTCCTGTGAGCACGCAATTCGGAACGAAACTAATCCCTTCATTGGAGCGATCGATCGATCAAGCATCGATTTTGGAACACACTAGCTGGCTAATAGTACTGTACCGAGTGGCTGCGCTGCGACTGGAGAAGAAGGAGGCTCTACTAGCCCATTGTGACATAGATGACACATATTTTTTTGCAAGATTGGAAATATATCTTCCTGTTTTTCATAGTACTGGTGAGCATGCTGCTGACGGGCTTCGATCCCAGAACCCTCTTTCAAAGGTAACTTTTACATTATTTCCGACCAGCCAGGTTTCACTGGTCCCACGCAACCCCACAGCCAGCAAAGTCGTAACATGAGCGCCATGCGAAAGAGACAGTGGGGTAATTGCTTTTGCACCACACCTGGCTAATGGCACACTGGACATTTGGAGCAGTAGAAACCCGCGAGCTTGCAGCCTAGTTAGTTCTTTGGAGATCTGCACTATGATGAGCCCGGGATTTGGATTGAACCTGGCGATGCAGAAGGAAGCTTGGAACTTGAAGAGTGGGAAACAACACCCAGAGCCGAAGAAGGGCTGGCACTTGTTGTTGGGCAATCATATTCGATTCGATTCGAGATTCGATTCATTCCAAGTACCACAGGTACCGGTACTACCGGTCCCTGTCAGCCTGTTGCTTCACAAGCAACACCGGAAGGCACGCATGCCGTTGCATAGACCAAGAAGCTCAGGGGCCTCGACGCCTCGACTCTTAAAAGTATGCCACGCATTTGCCTTGTCGCGCACATTGCCACCGGCACAGGGATACATGTAGCCGCTCCAGGCAGCGAATTATTGGACGTGCTCTTCGGATTGGTATTCTGCTCTTGATGCGCCTCCCAAGTCTCAAGCAACAATCAACAACTAACTGCGAGGAAGGTTTTAGACCCCTTCTCATCCATGTAGATACCTGTGTAGGAGACTAGCTAGTAACAACAACTCATCAAAGAGGACGGCTCGGGCAGGACATCTCCATGTGACAAAGAGTGCCCTGTCAGGCTCTCAGGAAGTTCAAAGAAGCACACCAGCTGGCATGCTGGCATCTACCGGTACCTCCGACCTCCTACAGTACAACCAACTTTCGTTGTACTGGCTACTACTCCAGCTAGTGGGTAGTAGGATAGCCAAGAAGCAGCCTGAGCTCCTTGTACCGCTTGCTTCTTCTACTTCCTACTCTAGCTTGAACTTAAGATAATCTTATCTCCTCCCTCCGGCCCGCACCCCTCGGTTTTGACAATGTTGATGTTCCAGTTTCAGAAGCTCGCTGCCACTATGATCGATACAGGTACTCTGCTGAAAGAAATACATAGACTACTTCAACGCGTGAAAGAGAGAGAAGCTTCGCAAAGCCACAAGGCGCGGCGTTGAATCAGCCCAAGCAGCATCCGCTCCTGTACTTGGGGTACAACCCCTCACCCAAAGTGCTGTTCTTCAAGCATCCCTGGTCCGCTTGCCGACTTGCCGAGGCTTCATCGCGCAACAAACTTTGAAACTTGCAGTTCGAGGACTTGGGCTCGGGAACTTTCCAACGTCTTCAGAAGCAAGCCGCTACAGTACTGTGTACCGCGTTGATCGCGCAACACAAGGGAGTACAGTATACAAAATAGTGTACAAAGAAAGGAACCCAGCAAAAAGATAGAGAAGCAACATCACTTTCAGCTTACAAGAATTTGCCGTTATTAATGCTGCCAACAATGCTGGCCAAATCAGTGAAAAGCATCAAGATCCAATGTGAAGACCAGTGAGAATGGTCGCCTCACAAATTCCTGTCCAGCAAGTAAAAGTGAGCTTGGGTGAGATCCATCTTGCCGTATAGCCACTACTTGGTTGTACTTGTGATTGTATTGCACTGCTTCTTGAACTGGTGTCAATCCAGTTTCGACCCTCGAGCTCACTTACTTTCACATCCAAAACGAAACCTCACAAAATTGATTTCGCAAGACATACAAACCAACTCACGAGCGAAGAAACAAAAACGACCAAGCCAACGATGAAGTGGTCCAAAAGTTTGACTGCTTTGCTACTACTCGGCGCTACCGTCGACGCCACATGTCCCTTTGCTGGCCAAGGAGGGGTTCGGGGATCTATGACCGGGCCCAATCCCCATACCGAAGAAGGGCGTCGAGTCCTGGCCAAGAAGAAGCAGCGTCAACAACGGCGATTGGTGCATTCCCCAAGAACAGGGGATTATGGAATCCCCGAGGGTGGATTTGCTGCTGTTCGTGAGGACATCAAGACCATGCTGGTGACATCTCAAGACTTCTTCCCTGCTGATTTTGAGCCTCCCATTGGACCCAACTATGGCGGTAAGAATATTCTTTGCGTGCTTTGGGGGTCTAAGAATTGCTGTTGGCTTTGTCCCTCACGTGTACAAATTTATTAAAACTATTTGAAACAGGTCTCATGATCAGGCTTGCCTGGCACTGCTCTGGATCCTACCGTGCCTCTGATGGCCGTGGTGGATGTGATGGAGGACGCATCAGGTTTGATCCTGAATTGAACTGGGAAGACAATGCCAACTTGAACAATGCAATGAAGCTTCTTGAGCCAATCAAGGAAAAGTATGGGTCCTCCTTGTCCTGGGGAGACTTGATTACTCTCACAGGAACTACAGCCATTGAGTTTATGGGAGGTCCTGTTCTGGGATTCTGTGGAGGCCGCATTGACGATGTTGATGGAAGTGACAGCTTAATTTTGGGACCATCAGATATCCAGGAAGAGCTGTCCCCGTGCAAAAGCATTGGCCAGCAAGGAGCATGCGAGTCCCCTCTTGGACCAACCACTGTTGGCTTGGTAAGGCCTGCATTGATCTTTTGTTGGTGTCATTAAAACATGGAGTTCTCTAACAAATTGTGCTCTTTTCCTTTTGCTTTTCTTGTTTAGATCTATGTGAACCCAGCTGGTCCTGTCAATGCCACAGGTAATCCCGTGGCCAGTGGTCTGGATATCCGTCAAGCATTTGCCAGGATGGGATTCAACGACACTGAAACTGTGGCAATTATTGGGGGTGGTCATGCCTTTGGAAAGTGTCATGGTGCCTGTACCAACCCTCCTTGTGGAGAAGAGCCTCTGGTTGGTATTGGCCCTAATACCTTCACCAGTGGTTTTGAGGGAGCCTGGACTACAGCCCCTACGACTTGGACCAACTTGTACTTTACCAACTTGTTGGCTTTGGAGTGGGAAAGTGGAATTGGTCCTGGTGGAAATCTGCAGTGGGCTCCTGTGAACTCTGACGATGATATTATCATGTTGACCAGTGACATTGCCCTCTCTGCTGATCCAGAGTATTTGCCAATCTCCCAAGAGTTTGCAGCCGACATTACCTCTCTAGAGGAGCAGTTTGCCCATGCCTGGTACCGTCTCATGAGCAATGACATGGGCTCCAGAGAAAGGTGCATCAATGAGAACCCTGATGATATCCCCCCTGCTCAGTGGTGGCAATATCCACTTCCAGAGGCTACAGAAACTGATGTCGATTACGTCCCTATTCGTACTATGATTCAAGACATGATTGACTCAGATAGCAGCTATGTGGAAGCTTTCTCAAACCTGGCTTATAGGTGTGCTTCAACCTACCGTGATACGGATTACCGAGGTGGATGCAATGGAGCGAGAATCAGATTTGAACCTGAGAACGATTGGCCTGAGAATGAAGGCACAGAAGAAGCACTTGCTGCGCTTGATCCAGTCAAGGTGGAATTCCCTGAGATTTCCTATGCTGATCTAATTGTGCTGGCTGGACACACAGCCATTGAGGCAGCCGGAGGAAAGATGATGCCTTTCTGTGGTGGCCGTGTGGATGCTATCGATGGCTCTGGAAGTGTTGACCTTGCCCCCAGGTATTACACCCCTGCTGTTGTATCCATCCGTGATGACATGCAAGTCAAGGGCTTGTCTCCACAAGAGGGGGTCGCCTTGTTTGCCAAGCCTGCAGTGGACGCGCCCCTCAATCAGTTCTTCGTTGGCTTGGTTGATGCTGACCCTGAAACATTGTCAGAAACTGAGAGGGCACTGCTGGAGCCAGAGTTTTTGCCTATTGTAACACAGTTCGCTGAAAGTGAAGATGCCCTTAAGGAATCCTTCTCGAATGCTTGGATTCATATGATGACATCCGATCGCTTCGATGGTCCCACCGGCAATGTCTGTGATGCCAGAACGGATGTTACACTGGAGGGCGTGGATGTGCTTGAGGTGACCAGAGACTATGGAATCCCCGAGGGTGGATTTGCTGCTGTTCGTGAGGACATCAAGACCATGCTGGTGACATCTCAAGACTTCTTCCCTGCTGATTTTGAGCCTCCCATTGGACCCAACTATGGTGGTAAGAATATTATTTGGGTACTTTCAGGAGCTAAGAATTGTTGTTGTCGTTGTCCTTCGCTCACATGAACAAATTTATTAAAACTATTTGAACAGGTCTCATGATCAGGCTTGCCTGGCACTGCTCTGGATCCTACCGTGCCTCTGATGGCCGTGGTGGATGTGATGGAGGACGCATCAGGTTTGATCCTGAATTGAACTGGGAAGACAATGCCAACTTGAACAATGCTATGAAGCTTCTTGAGCCAATCAAGGAAAAGTATGGGTCCTCCTTGTCCTGGGGAGACTTGATTACTCTCACAGGAACTACAGCCATTGAGTTTATGGGAGGTCCTGTTCTGGGATTCTGTGGAGGCCGCGTTGACGATGTTGATGGAAGTGACAGCTTATTTTTGGGACCATCAGACATCCAGGAAGAGCTGTCCCCATGCACTAGCATTGGCCAGCAAGGAGCATGCGAGTCCCCTCTTGGACCAACCACTGTTGGCTTGGTAAGGCCTGCGTTGATCTTTTGTTGGTGTCATTAAAACATGGAGTTCTCTAACAAATTGTGCTCTTTTCCTTTTGCTTTTCTTGTTTAGATCTATGTGAACCCAGCTGGTCCTGTCAATGCCACAGGTAATCCCGTGGCCAGTGGTCTGGATATCCGTCAAGCATTTGCCAGGATGGGATTCAACGACACTGAAACTGTGGCAATTATTGGGGGTGGCCATGCCTTTGGAAAGTGTCATGGTGCCTGTACCAACCCTCCTTGTGGAGAAGAGCCTCTGGTTGGTATTGGTCCTAATACCTTCACCAGTGGTTTTGAGGGAGCCTGGACTACAGCCCCTACGACTTGGACCAACTTGTACTTTACCAACTTGTTGGCTTTGGAGTGGGAAAGTGGAATTGGTCCCGGTGGAAATCTGCAGTGGGCTCCTGTGGACTCTGAGGATGACATTATCATGTTGACCAGTGACATTGCCCTCTCTGCTGATCCAGAGTATTTGCCAATCTCCCAAGAGTTTGCAGCCGACATTAGCTCTCTAGAGGAGCAGTTTGCCCATGCCTGGTACCGTCTCATGAGCAATGACATGGGCTCCAGAGAAAGGTGCATCAATGAGAACCCTGATGATATCCCCCCTGCTCAGTGGTGGCAATATCCTCTCCCCGCAATGGAGGAGCCGGAGGAGCCCGTGGACTATGTCAGTGCCCGTACAATGATCCAAGGATTGATTGATGTTGACAGCAACAACATTGCTGCCTTTGCGAACCTGGCATTCCGCTGTGCATCAACCTACAGGGCCACCGATTACAGGGGTGGATGCAATGGAGCAAGAATCAGATTTGAACCTGAGAATGAATGGCCTGAGAATGAAGGAACAGGAGATGTCCTTGCCTCTCTTGGATTGGTCAAGGGAGAATTCCCTGACATGTCCTATGCTGATCTCATTGTGCTGTGCTGGACAAACAGCCATCGAGTCTGCGGGTGGCAATGACATGCAGTTCTGTGGTGGCCGTGTGGATGCTGTGGATGGTGCTGGAAGCATTGGCCTTGAGCCCAGGTACTACAGTCCTCCTGTTGTGTCCATTCGTGATGACATGCAAGTCAAGGGATTGACAAAGCACGAAGGAGTGGCTCTCTTTGCCATTCCAACGGGTGGCGATGATGATGTGGAAGTTGCCATCGAACGAAATCTCCCGCCCAATGCCTTGTCCAACCAGTACTTTGTCAACTTGCTGGCCGGCGACGGCGACTTTGACGAGTACGAGATGGCGCTCTTGGAGGACGAGTTCTTGCCCATTGTACAGAGATTTGCTGGCGACAATGAGCTCTTCTTGGGAGTGTTTGCTGCCGCCTGGAACAAGATGATGACGGCTGACCGCTTTGACGGACCCGTTGCCAACATTTGTGATAGCCGTACGGACGAAACGCTGGAGATTGTCCCTCGTGAAAACGTGCCCCTCCCGATTGAGGATAGCGAAGATGAGGGCGACGATTTTGGTCTGGACAGCAAATCCGGTGGATCGGAATACGAAAAGGGCGATGCTGGCATGGGCTCGATCCTCGAAGGTTCTTCTGGGGTATCCTTCTTCTCGGGAACCATGTTTGGATTGGTGCTGGTTGTGGCTTCAGCTATGATTTGATTGAGGTGATCCTGAGTTGGACGAGTGAAAAGAGTTTACGATTGAATCAACCTGTTTTGCATGTAACTTGATAAATAATACATAAAGAGGAAAATGCACGAATTGTTGGGTCTCTTGCTCGGACCTGAGCTACCTGGCTACTGAGAATGTTGGACGGAGGTATTCTACATATTGTACTAGTACTGTAGCATCGGCCGGGTGGCTCGGGCTTGGGCTTGATCGAAGGGCGAGCAGATGGTGGGGTGGGAGTGACGTCGAGGGGCCACGAGTTTGTGACAAGAACGCGCTCGATGCGCGCTCAAGAATTATTGGTTACCATCCGCTCTCGCCTGCGAAGAGCATGAGGTTGACAATGATGCTCCAGACTAAACAACTTCATGAGAGTTGTCGCTGATATAATTGAGTAGAATACCAAGAGAGTTACCTCCGTTGCTTATTATCATTACGGTAGCCGAGAGATAATCCAAGGGATACGACGCCACGTCCTTTTGTTTGGAACGCTTCCCTCGTCAGTTAGTTCCATTTTTATATTTTATTTCACCATGATAGCCACAAGAACAGCGACGCTAATCAGAAGAACTCGGTCCTTGGTGACACGAACTGGCAGATCACTACTGGAACAACAACAATGTCAGCATCAACGCCGAACAATACGATCCGTTGCCCAGAGAGCCATTTGTGTGGAAGGGCTTCAAGTATCGTTGGTCGCCCTGTCCAGAACACCCGAATCTGGATTGCCATCATATTTGGGGTTTGACGAAGACGATGATGGAACGTAAGTACCAGTGTGGTAGGAAGAGAAAGGGTTGTTCCGGGCGGGAATTTGGGCGGTGAGCAAATATTTGATTGCTCGGGAGTTTTTGTTGGGCCTGTTTTTTTGCATGTGTTGTGGGTTGGAGCTTTGGTGATGATGCAAGCTGTCAGCTATTATTTGTTTCACTCATGACGTGCTGCTGCGTACCTCTTGGTGGATTGTCTTTTCATATTATTATTATCTCATCACAGTTAATGAATTTGTGATTCCTCGCTCTTTGGACCTATCCACCATTGCCACAATCTGCACAGATAACGAACTGATTCAGGGAAAAGAAAGCACGGTTTCACACCTTTCAAATATTTGGTTCTTCCAGGTAAGCAAGCAGTGGATGGGTCGGATCAATCTATGATAGCTGTTGGCGAGGTCTCGATGAGGAAAACACCTTCATATCTACATTTAAGCTATCGAGAATGTTCACATGTCGATGCAAACTGCAGACTTCCTTCTGAGAGAGACACACACCAACCAACAGCTACCTTTTTCACCCGTTTTGTCTGAATCACTACCAAAATGGTTGGAGATTCATTATCATCTCATCCTTGTCCCTTCTTTCTTCTTGCTGTGATTATAATTCAGGATACACTCTACAAACTAAAAGGAATTCAGCTGAATGAATGTCCATGTACTATTGTAGCCAGGCTCTATTCAGTTTGCTTCTAAAGATGTTGTCACTTTTAGTAGTTGGGAATAAAGATTGTAAAACTGGATCAATCCTCTACCTAAAAATGGAAGTCTTAAGATAGTCGTCTTGTCATTCTGTGGGACGGTAGCATTCTCACCCACCATCGTCGTCTTCACATAAATCCATTTGACCGCACAATGTCAATGCTCGATCGATGCCTGATGAGGAGTGTATTGTCGATGTGCCGGCGGATAATGCATGGTTCATCAATGGAATGCTGCCAGCCGAGGTCCACCCGGATGATCTTCTCCCTGGCATCTCCTCAGTGACCTTCCCTCTGTAGCCGTCCATACAAGACAGTACTCTCGCAGCTCCAAGTCTCCCTCTTCCAACCCGACTCGCAACGTTTCGGCTGCATCCCAACATCTTGTTATCAAACTCTCCCTTCCTCTCGATCAGTGTGGTGTGACTGCTGGTGCTTGCGCCGCGGTAACGAAAATCGCGATGGAGGCTGCCTCCGAGATCCAAAACCAAAGGTGAGCGGCTCTTGAATCTTTTGATGTCTGTGACGTCACTTTCGTGAGTTCTCAGACAGAGCACAAACCGGCATACCCGGGTAGCATCGAGGTCGCATACCAGTACCACTAGCTAGCTAGCTAGCTAGCTAGCGGTAACTTGCGTGGGTACGGTACAGTATGGTACAAGACATGTACCGGTACCGTACTACTGATACACAACGGATTTGGAGAGGATTGGTGGGAGGGTGGATAGATTTCGCCCATCGGGAAGCAGATTTGGCTTACCCTTGTACCATGCTAGCTAGCTAGTAGGTTTCTATGTGAGGGCTGTGAGTGCTCCTGATACTTTCTGGTTTGCGAAATCTGCTTCCCAGCAAGGGAAAGGACAATTCTCTCCTCCTAAAGTACCAGGATCTCTACAAGTACATTCGTGCTTTGAACAAATCCAATGAATTTCCCATGCTAGACGACAACGGAGACAGGTCTATCTCGTTACACCTGGTTTCAGTGGAACAAGGATGTAGTATGTAAACGAGAGCAAATCATAGCTACGTGCTTGACAGGAGACGGCAAAGGATTGTCGCAGCACCTCAACCAGCACGTTCGACATGGTGCAATGCATCACGCAACGAATCCAGTGATGAGAGCTTTGAAGCCCAAAGAAGTGGGCGGGGGCGGTCAACGAACACTTTTTGGAACACTGGCTGACTGGGTCGGCTCCATTAGCTATCAAGGGCATTATCAAGGCATTGCTAAAACAAAAGGGCTGCTGGCAGCACGGATGGGTGGCTTGAATCCAGACAGCAACAATGTCAGGGGTAAGAAAGGTGCCAGTCAAGGTTTGCTTTTTTGTCCTGTCTCCGCAATTTGGTTGAGAAGCAGCAAAATACATCATACTATTTTAGCAAAAAGTATATGATGGCAACAAGAGTGGCCTGGCTCCTTGAAAGAATTGATAGCCAAGAGTTGACAGGCAGAGGCTTGTGGGGTCTTGTGGCATGTTTTGCCTTTCCTCTTCCATAGTCTGTGATATGCGGACGTCAGACTTGGGTACCAGGTACTGTACTTTACAGAACGACAAGTGCAGATGAAAATTTGTGACGAATATTTCGTTTTACAGAACCTTTAACAGACGTCACGACGTCACTTCTCAAAGTACTCCTCCTTCTGGAGTCTCGAGAACTCCAGAGTTCAGTATGAAGCATTCTGTACAAACCTTGTGGTACCAGCATTCTCCCTGCTGTCAAGGAGAATCAAATCATCCAATCAGAATCCGGTACCGGTATTGTACCGTACCGTACACGTGGGTATCCAGCTCCTGTAGGACTGCATGCGTGGAGGAGAACAACCTCCCACAAAGATATCGGCACTGGCATCTGGCATGGAGTCATTATTTTCTTGCTCAGTCTCTGAACAGAAGATATCTTACCCCTCCCCTGTTACTATCCTTGTCCGTTAGCAGAAAGGAAGGAAGAAAGAGCTGCTGCAAGAGCTCACTTTCCTGCGCCCAGCCCTTGCTATACTTACCGGTAGCCCAACTTTTAACTTTCCTTTGACAACGATCTCCGAAAGGTAAAACAAAGATGAAGTTGCTCCTGGGTCTGATTGTATTGATCCGCGCCGCCGCCAGCCAAGAGCTGACGCATACCTGTGGTAACTATCCCGCTTCGGCCTACGGGTTGGAGTGTCTCTTGACCAGCAGCGCCGATGGTGGCGATGCCATTGAGATTGTGGATGAGTCCACGGACATTCTTCATGTCGCCTTTGGCAACAGCATTACCGAGGAGGAGTTTGCTACGTACCCTCAAGAGGTTGGCAACTGGTCCAAGAACTCTCCCCGAGACGCCCAGTTTGATGGTTGCATTCTCAAGTCCCCTTTGACTCCCATTGACTGCAGCGGAATGGAAGAGTGCCTGGCTGTCAAGGAAGTTCCCGAGTTTAACAATTCATTGTGGATGGAAACCACACAATTTGCCTGTCGTGGTTGGTACCCCTCGGGCAAGGTGGATGACATTGACTTGCAGCCTCCGCCAGAAGGCCAGATCCTGGTACAGCCATTTAGCAAGTGCCAGAACATGACCTTTCCTGCTGACAGGCAGTTTATATAGACAGATGAATGGGGAAATGAGTATATTTTACATGCAACCGTTCAAGAAGGCAAAGATGGCATTGCCGACAGCTTGGAAGGGCAAGTCCTGCCAGAAGGTTGGAGCATCAGAGAAGTGACCCTAACCTCTCCTTTTTCGATCTGGCCAGACATTAGTGATGATGGTACCTGCTACTATCAAATTCTTCGGGACAACTTGGACAATTCCTATCATGGTATTGGTTGCGGTGGTGACATGCGGCCAACAGACTTTATTGACACCTGTCCGGATGCAGTCAAAAGTTCCAGCGGTGCTGCTACGGAGGAAACCAGCGATACCGCTAATCCTGAAACTGAGTCTGGTGGTGACATGGATACTGGCAACGAGGAGACTACTGAAACTTCTGAAGCTGCACCAAGCGCCAATGAAACGGGCACTTCGGATGCTGCCGCGGCTGGTACTTCTGAAGCCAATTTCGGTGCCCCTCATTCGCTTTCAATCATTGGGCTCGTGGGTCTTTTGGGAATCTTCATGTCAACTTAAAACACCGGTACAAGTAGTGGTTGCGCTGCAAGCAGCAGGAGGCCTGCTGTCTAAAGCGCATGAGAAGGAAGTATAACGAGTTTGAATTAATGTATGTACTTACTTGGCTTAACGTTAACGACAGTACCGGTAGTGGATAGTCTCCAAGCAGCAAGGCATCATGTTGGTCCAAGGCATGTTCGAGAAATCACCCTCGTAAAGAACTAAAACGAGTTCGAAAGAATGTTTTGGATGCTCTTCATCTATCTTACTTGCCTGGTACCATACACATTGCCACTCGCCACTGCTCAGCTTGAGGGCTTGGTGCATGGACGTTTGATTGGCTCAGGTAGCGGTATCTTTCTCTCCATAGCTGCCGGTATAGACCACAACAGCTTGCTTGCTAGCCAGCTAGTACAGGCAGCTTCGCTTCTAATGATTCAAACGCGAGCCGAGCTTCTTCGTACATTTCTACACTAGCACTCGTAGAAGTGTACCAGAAAAGCCGGCACGCGTTTGAATCAGAAAAATCGAAGCTGCTCGTAGAGAACGTTGAGAAATTGTTTGTGTTTCATCAAGAAGTGGTTTGGGCTTTAAAAAGGCTGTCAGTGCTACCATTGTATGAAGACCCTTGTGTTGGAAGAGGGAAGAAAAATGAAAGACTGAAGAGAACCGGAGCTGCAGAGGTGCGAACTCCGACTCGACTCGACTCGACTGTCACTCCTCCTAGTAGTTAGGATCCTGCGGTACCTTTATCGCACCCGTACCGTACATGTAGCGGTACCGGGTACCTGTACCAGGTACCATGGTACCGGTCCCTACCGATACACCCATAGATGCACACTTGCCCCGACTTTCTCTCGGATCTCTGGGAGATCAAACCTCGCTCCGTTGCAATGCAGATAGAAATAGGCGCGAAATGGAGTCCACCGTCGTCCAACCACAGATGCGCCACCCTTTGTACTCGAGAGTCAAACAAGATCACCAGCAGACTCTGCCTCCCTTCCAATTCTTGTCAAGCTCACTCTTTTGAGCCTTGACAGTGGAGTTTACCCCATACAAGAACGATTCAAGTAATTGTCAGTCCAAGATGACGCAGACGACGACTGAGGCTACACGCACTACCGGTACTGGTGGTAGGAGAAAGAAAAACAGAGAGACGGAGGCTCAAATCATTAGGAGAAGCAAATACAAACAGAAACAAAGCAAGACCCGTCTACGTTACAGGGTCGGGGACGCTGTGAGACTACTGATGAAACTGAAGACACTACCGGTACACTTCTCCACACAAATGATCCCAGCCACCGTGTCGAGTGATCAACAGGTTAAGAATGTTAGCAATGGAAAACAAATACTAAATAGATACGTTAAGGAGCGAGGGGATGAGAATAATCAGTCTGGAATTGGACAAGTGGATGCTTCCATTCGTGTCTAAAGAACAACTGCGAATTTGGATCAACAAGCAGACACCCACAGTGGAGCGGGAAACATGCGAAAGACAGGCGTGGAATGGCTGAAAAGATGCATGGGTGTTTGTTGGGCTCAGGCAGGTACGGTAGCGGGATCTTTTCTGCTGCGACCTGCCTATCCATGGCTATACCGGTAGAGCACCACAGCTTGCTAAACGAAAGCTGAGAAATCGCTATGTTTCATCGAGACTTAGCTACTACTTGAATGGATCATGAGGACACCGTCAACAACTTTGCATTTGAACTTGCAGAGGAACGCATACACCAAGGCTGAGAAACACGTCATGAGCACCGAGAGGATGAACCACTTCGCGACAACCTCTGGCTCCAAATCTCGCCCTAGGCCCTGCACCAAATCCATAGATTCATCCAACTCAGCGCACTTTGAATCCGCAGGGTCAATGTGTTTGTCGTTTAGTTCTTTTTGATCTTGTGACGATACCTGGATTGTTGTGCTGACATTGTCATGGTCTGCTTCGTCTCCCCATCTCGTGGCTTCCGTTTCCTGAGAAAAGTCACGCCACCAACGCTGAATCTGTGCAGCTGCGACCTTTGCAGGATCCTCCTCGGCTACGGCAGGATCCTCCGCAATGACAATTCGCAGATCCGTGGAATCAGATACGGCCTCCCCACTTTCACCATCGAGCACTGGAGACACGTTGGCAGGAGCTGGTTCGTTGGGGCATCGATTGTCGTCTTGTTCGACATCTGATTCCGAGATGAACCAAAGCCTCATGGCGTCGTCTTCGTCTTGAGTATCGCTCATGTACGTGATCCAACGATCCGGCAGCTCCTCGCCATTCCACAGCCAACAACAACCAATGCTCTGCTTGCCTGGTACATTGTCATCGTTGTCCGCAGTCTTCGCGAAGTTGTCTTCACTTGGTTGCAACCGTAACGAGAGCCGTACCTGATGCAGCACCTGCATTAAGGAGACATAGTTGCGAACGGTGACATCGACAGGGATACAACCCAAAACCGGTTCATCGGCAAGGTATTTGTCTGCTTCAACCAAGACTGATCGCAGCGGTTGGGGGGATTTCCGGGCTTTTTCAACAATCAGATCTTTGTAGTACGGCTGCAGCAGGACATCGTTTGTGAAGCTTTCCACATCAGCCAGCGTCGACTTTGTTCCCTGCTGCAAACAGAGCTCCTGAACGCTTGCCACCAGGGTGTTTTTGGTGTCTTCATTTAGCGGGTCGGCGGCGCAGCGATCGCACTCCCGATAGATAAAGCCCTCGGTAGCCAGTTGATATCCGAGAAACTGAACAAGTGAGAAGATTTGCTTGCCATCGAGGTCGATCAGCAGCTTCCATTGAGATTGGTTCAGGAGAGGAAAGCCAAGGCTTCCTAGAAACTCGTCAAACTCCATGGTGAAGTTTACCATCTCAATCGCTTCACGCATGCAAGAAATCCGAGTAACACCGTCAGACAAAAGAAGATCAAAGAAATTCTGAATCCCCGAAAGCAGAGTAGCAATCGTTTGACTGTCCAAGCAAGAGTAATGGACACGAATAGGGCCAAGGATGCTTTCATCCGCTCCCACGACACCGAGTCGACGTAAGGTGCCCTGCGCTCTCTCCAATAGTCGAAGATCTTCTTGCCTGCAAAATAGTAGCCCTGACGAAGATGAGAAAACAAGTTCGTGCTTTGCCGTGGATTTCTTTTCCACGGATTGATCAACTCGGAAAGAAAAGTGCTCGCGGAGAAAGTCCAGTGGGTTTGAGATGAGAGGTGGAAGGTCGGAGTGGACGATTCCTTTCCGCAAGAGGCTATCGAGCCGTTCTGAATCGAAGGTCTTCGTATCGCCTTGCCAGGAAGCCATGGCAAGCGAACCAAGCTCTTCTGGTTGGAGTAAGGGAAGCGTGATGATTGATGCACTGTCAGGCAGAACCATGCTAGGGTGGATAGATCTCGTTGGAGCCACGGCATCATTGGAAGCGAGTTCCGCCAAACGTTGCACAAAGCGGTTGTACTTTGCAACTATAGTGTCGATCCATAGAAAAAGGACGTCATTTCCCTCGCTTGGGTCGGCTCCTTCACTAAGTAGTGCCAAGAGAGGAGCTTCCTTCAGTGTCTTGAATCCGAGCTGGACCTCCTCACATTGCCAGGTCACCCGAAACTTCGGATCCTTCAGCAAAACGTCGAACTTGCAAGATAGTCGTTCAAAGAGAGCCAAGATGTGGGACGCGTGGATTCTGTCGAAACGCTTATGAACGCGTGCCTTGTCCAAGATGCTTCCGATGGTATTTGACAAGGCTTCTTCTTTTGTTATCAAGTGCGCGAAATGGGAGTGTAACCACAGATAAAACTACGACGGAAGACAAAACAGGGGTAAGAATACCACTAAGAGGATGCGAGTTTCAGCGATGATACCGTACGCACCTCAATCAGATCTGGTAGGATAGAGATCTCTGCGGAGAAGCCAGACCCGTCCATTAGAATCTGTAAGAGACAAGATTGGTAGTCGGAGACATCAGTCTCATCGAACACTGCAGCAGTCAGTAAATGGCTGTCTTCCTTTTCTCTCCGCAGCACGAATCGCAGCTTGGGCACTTCGAAGGAAATCATGGCGTTCCATTTTTCATTCGCCCCAGTGAATCCCCGAAATTGTGCTGCCTTGATTGAAACTTCTTGTCTCAATTGCCGGATTGCCTCGTCATCAAATTGATACCGCCCTGCTTGGTCCAGTGGAAACTGGCGGCCACAACCGTAACCGCCATTTACAATATTCCCCCCAACGAGAGGTCTTCCGTTGTCTCTGTGGGCGTCCTGCCCGCATCTCATGGTACCGCACTCCACCGCGTCAACCATGAACTGGGCGCCACAATGGGGACAGAGTCTAATCTCATTGGCTTTTCGCTGTTCTTCTTGTTCCATCTCGTTCAGGTTTCGCTGCGCAGTCGCCAACTCCGTTTCAACCCTTCCACGCTCTGAAGGAACGCCATTTTGCAACGATCGACACCAGGGCTGCCCGTGAAGCTGTCCGCCCTGTCGGAGAGACGCAGCCACACTGCTTTCTCCGCCATGATGGCTCATTACAGAGAAGAAGAAATCCTTAAACTTGATGGATTCTAGGCTCATAATTTGCCCAAGAACTGTCATTCCAATTTCATCTGGCCCAGACAAGGCGCTGGCTTCTCCATGCTGGGCAAGTTCCTGCGCGACTTTCGTCAGAAAACACAGAATTCGACAGTCTGCAATCATCGCTCCCAAAGGAGAACCAGCCAGTGAATCGTACTGATCACCCGTCGTATCTAGTGTGCTATCAACTCCGGCTTCGGCTTCAATGTCCTTCAGCAACAGTATCAACAGGTCCAATGACGACATTGGACCAGATTGACCGAGCATCATGCAAAGGAGCAGCTGGTACATGGCATTTGGGAATGCCCCATCATCAAAGGAATGCTCGTAGTCAGCAAAAAACTCCGGGTAAACCGACAGCGTCTGGACGCTTTCTTCCCCATCGATTGTCGAAGCCGACTGCAGCCATTCAGGCACGAAGTGGGGCACGCATGTGCGAACACCGCTGGAAGAAAACTCTCTCAGTCTCTGGCAGGGGACAGCATTGTTGACTATCTTCAGAGTTTGCTTCGACCAACCCAACAGAAGATCGTTATCCGTTGCTCCAGCCGAGCAGGCCTTATGCAGCAACGCCATGGCAAACTGTTGATCACAGAGTTCTCCGTTTAGCAAGGCCAATAAGCCGCCCAAGTCCGACTCGAAGTGGTACGGCATAATTTTTGCATAGTTGAAGAACTGCCAGAGGAAGGACTGCAGTGTGTCTTTTGGGGCACCGGCAACAGACAGCATACTCATAATCGAACCGATGCTCAGGTCGGTCTCGGCACTGACCGTGATTAGGCTGAGATCTTCATCATACCACGTCGAAACCACAGACGGGATATTTGGGACCCCAACCCTGAGCAGCCCAAGAACCCCAACCAGCACACGGATGCGGTTTCGGACGTCTTGGCGTTCAAGAACCCGGTCATCGACAAGCCCCATGTTGAGTTGGGCAACAAACGAAGATAGCAGCCCTCTCCAATTCGAATCCGCGCATGTCACAAGCGTCGTTTCGAAGTGTTCCAACATGCGGAGGAAACAGGTTGTTGCAAAGGACGATTCCTGCCAACCGCTCAAAGCGTTCTCTGGCTCAGCAAACTGCATTGACTTTGACCAGGGGACAATTCTCATGATTTCCAGTGGGCGCTCTCGTTGGAAGCAATGCATGGCCAGAATACTCCTTTGACCGCCCCCCAGGTCCCTTGTCTGTGAATCAAGCCAGTCGACAGCGACTGAATTTGCCGTGCAACCTGTTCTGTTCTGGACAAATTCCTGTAGATAACGCTTGAAAAGGTCATCGTCCTCAGAAGAAACCACTGATCCAACTACGTCAAGAATCAAGCTTGCACGATGTGAGCCAGTGTCATCACCGTCCTTCAGATTGTCCATGATTTCCGTGCATGTTTCAAGAAGGGCTTTTCCTTTGCAGGCTCTTCTGTGCTTATCACGACCGCCTTTCTGCTTCATCAGTATCTCCTTTTCGGCGATCTCAATGCATTCTTTGAGTGCCGAAGAAATGAAATTGAAAAAAGGAAATCTAGGGATTGTTTCGGTTTCATCCGCACGGCGCTGGCGGTTCACACTGGGAGAATCTTGCTGCAGCAGGATCTCTTCGAAGGGGACCGCTGGCAATGATTCCAACACCTTTCCGAACAGTTGCCTAACCTCTTCCGACGCCCCATTTGTGATAACTTCGTAGTTCCTGCCTGCAAGAATTTCCCCCAAATGCAGAAGCAAAAACGATTCAAATGCTTTTTCCAGGGATCGATGAATCGAAGCATTCATCGAGAGCTGCGTTGTTCCCTCGAGAAGAGCCCTTGAGGCTAGCTTGGTCGCATATGGGAGGGCCTCTTCCATCCATTCACGTGCAAACTTCTTGCAGAGAACTTCTTGGACTGTATGGTCTCCGACCTTCTGCGAGAACAGCTGTGCAAGCTGCTCTAACTGATCGTTGAAAGGGTCAACGCCACCACCTGTTCGGGGAAATGGTTGTCTGCACGCGATAGTCGATAGGGCGGTGGGCAGCATTTGTTCCAGGAAGCCAAGTAGGTTTTTCACCAAATCGCTCTCTTGCGCATCCTCAATTTCACATGACAGTCTCATGAACTGATTTGTGCCAAGCCCCCGGACCTGATCCATGCCATCGAGGAAAAAGTGGCTCCAACCACCAAGGCTTAATGCTGGGTACCAGCTTGACTTGAGAAATGTAGAAGGAGGATAGTGGAGAAGCAGCACAAAAATCTTGTTTGTTGTGTTTGATAAGTGACTCTCCACAAGCATCCTGATGTAGTTGCACTGCTCCACGGATTTTTGCCCCTTCATGTCAACAACGAGTACGTAAACTCGCTTTTCATCGTGCTGAATCCAAGCCAAAACTGAGCCCCGGACCTTGGCTTCGCTCCTTAGCAATTCCAGCCGCTCCACTACAACGTCATTCTGTCCTTTCGAGAGAGTTGCAATGGAAAGGTTACACGCATCTGTCCTCGAATAAGCGACGATCATTTTTGGCCTCATGAGATTCTCCAGCTCAGTTTGGATTAGCTCTTGCAGAGAACAATGTCCTGATGATTCAAGATACCACTCAAACACATCAGCCGGCAAGGCATGCCGCTGTGCGAACACGGATTCCGGAGTTGCAAGCTGTAAAAGGGTGTTAACTGCATACCGCGTCATGATCATCTGTACAACTGATTTGCAAAAGTTGTCAAGAACGCCGTCGCTGGGTTGTGCCAACAAGCTCCGAAGAGCCAGCTGCAATTCCGCAACTGCAACCTCTCCATCTTCCAGGAGACCCAAGAGCTCTGCTTGGTCTTCTGGCAGATGCTTTTTGGATATGCGCACAAGTACCATGATGTCACTGGCTGCAACGCTCAAAGAAGATGCCACTTTGAGGAACTTAGCCATAACATCGGCAAAAGAATCCTCCTCCTCTGCAACGAACGATGGCTTGTCCCCTTGAAGCGCCCAAGCTGGCAGCATGTCGATGAAAACACCATCCAATGTCCGCTCATTTTCAGCCCATCCAAACAGGCCATAGTGTTCAATCAATGGCTTGAGGAGAAGAAGGGTCTGGGATCGAGCCTGCTGTATCACAGATGCCATGCCCGGTCCAAGCTTTGTCAATCCGGCCACAATCACATCCTTAATGTCCAGTTGAAACTTTTCGAATCTGGTGTATCAAGCAAGAAGAACTTTGATGAGAGAACAATGGTTCCAACCAAAGCAATGCATAGGAAATGAATCGCACGCGGTTCTCCGAACGTACCTGTTAAGATAAGGGGCTGGCAGTTCCTTGATTTGAGAGCTCCGTGCGTGGACAATGCATTCAAAAGATGGATTAACCTGGCTTCGCCGAGACACCCCTCCGACTGCAATATTGGTAAAAAGAAGCTGCTGTCCATCCCTATCTTTCACCATCCGGAATTGCTGGTTGGTAATGTCATAGAATGCCTCGTTGACAGGCTCTGTTTGGCTGAGGAGGGCTGCTTTGCCTTGACCAGCAGCAAACTTAACCCCTGATATAAGACGCATTCTTTCCAATGCACTCTCATCAGGCATGTGAGAGAGCTTGAAGAGGGACCTTTTTGAGTCCTCGAGAAGCCCCATCAGGTGCAGGAGCCTCATGATAGAATCATCCTCCGAAGAATCAATGAACATTGCAAATCGAGCCCTGTTCTCTTGGTCCACACAAGCACAGTTTTGCTCTAGAGACGCCCGAATGATTTCCAAGGGATCTCTTGCAATCTGAGAAAAGATTCGCCTCATTTCCGATGAATTGCAAAATGGCTTGAGGAAAACCACGATGGTCTCGTATAATGCTCGCTTCTCTAGCCCGTTGAAATTCCGCTCAATTGCTTGGACCAGGCTGCGAATTGAAATGTGTAGCTTAGTCATCGAGGTTTCTCTAGCGTTGGCCTTCACCGAGCGAAGGAAATATATGAAATCTCGCAAGCCATAGAAAGTGTGGGCATCTTTGTTGGTCAAACCACCCTTGATAACTGTGTCGTAGGAGGTGCAAACTTGGCGGGCGAACTTGTCAGCTGGAAGCAAAGTGTCCCCAACGCAAACTTCCCTTGTAACAATCGTGCCATCAGTGGTTTTGCAGTAAAGCAAACCACTGGCAATTGTTGCCATTTCTTCTTCATCAGGTTCTGGGCGCAACAGCACTGCACACCGGTTGCTCTTGGCGGCATCGAGGATGTGGTTGGCGATTGCCACAAACCCAACTGCAGCCTTCTGAGCACATGACTCAAGTAGGTAATGCAAAACCTTCAGTGACTCACGGTCTTCCTCTGGCAGCCCCGCCTCATCCATAAAGACAACACAGCGTTGCTTACTTGGATCAAGTTTCTCTTGCCTTTGACTTGCTTTCCGGAAGATAGCTGCAATTTCCCGGCTCGATGTCTCCTTGCTGCATTGGTAATGAAAGAGGGACAAACGGGAAAGAGCCCTGTAGAATGGGCTGGAGCTGTCTTCTCCAGTGGCATTATCAGCCAGCATATTGACACTGAGCGTTTTCGACGAGCCAGGCCGGCCAACCATGAGAAGAGGAACACATGAAAGAGTGCATACAAGAGTGACAAAAAGATTCTCTTTTAAGCCCATGGTGACAGCAATCCCTGGTGGCACCAAGCTGTTTCTGATCACTGTTTCCATTGATGACTCCAAAACTCCCCTGAAGCTATGCTTCTCTCCCTTTTCTCCTGGTAGATTCTCAATCACAGCCAAAAGTCCACGTCGACATCCAGCGTCCAAGCGCATGTAGTACACAATTGCAACAGATAGAACCATGGACGTTCGCTGACTTGATTTCAGAGACAGAGCCTCTTTATCAAGCAAGTGTAAATTGTCCAGGAACCACCCATACAAAGTAAAGACACGTTGGATATCCCTGAGCGAGACCACAGAGGCGGCCCTTTGTTGAAGATCGTCATCGTCTGGCTGCGATTCATGAAACACTGTTTCACAAAGGTGCCTTGCAGCCAAACGCCGAATAGTGTCTTGGCAAGAGGATATCAGGTCTGTGAGAGACATTCTCAGCCCAGGAGATATCTTGTCTGTTCCGGTCATTTCCAGTCTGCGAGAAATGAATTCACGCTCTTGAGCTGCATTGAGGCTCCCAAATGACCATTTCAGATCTTCCATTGAAGGCGGCAACGCAACAACCTGATAGTGCCCGCTGGCCCAACAAGTTGCCATGTCATGTTCTCTTTTAGTAGCAACTTTGGCTGCCGTGCGTACAGGGTTGCAGGCTGCAACAGGAATGATATTTCCCTCAAGTACTTCGCCATGAAGGCTGCGATCCACCACGATTTCTTTGAAGAGCCCAATGACAGAGGATGTGTTCACCTCATCAAGAAAAACGATGATTGCACAATTCTCTCCCATGAGCTTTCTTGCAGCTTGACGGACAGGGATGAACAATTTGGAGATGTCATCACCACTCAATGTGGCATCCACATTAATGCTGAAGAAGGTGGGCTCGACAAGTGAGGAGCCAAACCACTTCAGCATTTCAAGTACTGCTTGAGTCTGGTTGGAGTCGAATTTGTCAGGTTTGTCTTGAAAGAGGGCTGGTCTTAGCTCAATCTTCTTGGTTAGCAGAGTGTACAGAAGCTCTGACAATTCAGTTGTACCCTCTCGTGAACGCTCTGCTGCAGATTCAAGCGATCTCTCCAGTCTGTCCAAAGCAATGTGGCCATCATCCACATTGTATCCCATGGATTGGATCTCTTGCTCTATGTCATCCAGATCCAGGGCAGTGAGCCTTGCAGCTTTCAAAATATGTGACAGGTTGAGTAGTTTTGAATACATTTTTGTGAGTGCCGTTTTCGAAACTCCAGTTTCACCTTCCAAGATAGCTGGGCAGCGGCAAGACACCCTCTCAGCCAGACACAGCATCTTCAATGCAAAGTCGACTGTAATGATAAACCCTTCGTTATTCACACAATTCAAGCAGTCGCTACCACTGACTGGGATATCAAGGGCTTTCGAGAGAAGCTCACAGAGAAAGCGAGGGCTCTGCAGCTGCATCTCCGAAGGTACGAAAAAGCCTGGCAGATTGAGGCTCTCATACCGCTGTCGAAGGACAGGATCCAAAGTACGTGGTGAAGTGCAGAGCAGACGGAACTCTGGTGCTTCAGGGTTTTCGAAATCATAGATAAGCTGAGTATGGTTCGTGTTGACCCAATCCAAAGAAAGATCTTTGTCAAGTATTCTCTGCACTTCAAAGAGCATGATTGTCATCAAGCTGCTGCCCAAGTGTTCAACGGTTTCATTGTAATTGTAGTTCTCGTTTGAATCCAGCACACTGACTCGCCTGTACAGAAAGCTCACCCAAAAGCTCATCTTCTGCATGTTGTGCCTTGGAACGGAATCCGGTGCATACTTATGAATGAGCCGTCCACATTCGCCATCGCTGACTTGTCCATCCAACTCAAATGTCTGGGACACTGGGATCGCCCTGGCAACAGTTTGGAAAGCCTCCACGAGTGATTCAATGTTGGCTTGTGAGGCAATGTACTGGCCCTTGTTGGATTCCACAGGAGGATCTTGATACTTGTTGCAGAGGAGTTGCATCCGTTGTCCATATTGAAGGGGCAGATTCACTCCGATCAAGATGACATGAACATTGTCACAAGAGTTTTCTAGGCACGGACGGAATGTTTCGTCTGTACCGCCTGTACACCCATCAGTCAAGCATATTATCCATGTTTCCATATCTTCGTCATGGGTTCTCTGGCAGTCTTCAACAGCGTATTGCAAGGCTGGATACATCCGTGTACCTCCACCCGCGCTGAAGCGAACACAGTCCAATGAATTGCGCAGCTCTGCCTTGTGGTGCTCGTCCGTCACAACTTGGATGGGTACTTGGATGGATGTATTTTGATTAAAAAGAACAACCCCAGCCATCTGGATTCAAGAACAAGATTAAAGTCGAAGTTCAGAATGATCAAAATAGTCCCGTCCCGTGACAGTTACTTACATCGTTTTGGTTCAGGTGTGAATCAAAAATTTCCAATGCACAATCCACAGCAGCGCTCAAGGCAGTCTTGTCATTGCCAACGATCTCTGCCATGCTGCCTGAATTATCCAGGACAAAGACAAGCTTCTTCCTGCCAGAGCCGGGTTTGAACTTCCGGTCAATTGTTCCGTCTTCGTAGGCCCGAAGATACGTGCAAACTCTTCGCGTTGCATCGTCGACAGAGAATCGCTGTTCTGGCTGGCGAACCTCACCACAAATGGATAGAACTGGAACATGCTTTCGTAGCCATTCCTGTGTCGCACCAACAGCAGTTTCTCCGTTGCCGCCTCGTAGCATCGATGGAAGCTCCACGTATATCGTCCACCCACTGTTTCCAACATGGAATGATTTGGAAGAATCACTGTTTCGAATCAGGCCAAGAACCAGAAAAGAAAAGAAGAATCGATTGATTGTGTCTAGCCAGGCGCAATTGACCTCACTGCTTGGTTCGAGCAAACACATGAATGAAAAGTGGATGGCTTTCTTACTTCCGTTCAGTTTGAAAGCATCAATGATATCATCGGTTAAGGAGTCCATCATACTCCCTTCATGGACTGTAATTGCACCGACTGCCTTATCACGATGGCGCCGTTTTATCTCTCTACGAATCAACCGAGTCTTCCCAGCACCACTCGCCTCACTGAGAACGATGCTCACGCTTTGGCATCTTTCGCCATTGATGATGTTTCTCCAACAACTTGATTGGTCTTCAGTGGCACAATGACGCCACTCGCTGCCCTCTAGGAAGCTTGAAGTATGCAACATCGAAGTTTTTGCCTGTATTAAGTGCAGACGCAGCCCCAGCGATTTATTCTCTCGGTCTGACGTAAAGTCGAGCACTTTTTCAAGGGAATTTCCCGCCATCTTGTCAACGTTGACTATGGTGAATATGTTTGTGGTGAATACTTTCGATCGACGCAAGAACAGATCAACTTCCTCTTTTTCAGTCTCTGGAGACACAAATAGAATCTCAAATTCGGCGGGCAGCCGGTTCTGCGCAGAGAGCAAAGTTTCTGTAAGTCAGAGCTCGGTCGTATTTGTAGTTGCACCAACGATGAACATGCTTCGTACCTTATAAATGTTTTGCAACAATCCCAGTGTTGCGTCGCTCTCACAGCCAGCATCACAAGACAGCGTATGCAACTTGAGAACGCCAACTTCATTCCTTTCCTTTTGTTCGAAAGGAGCCCCCACAGCCTGGTGGACATCCTCAACAAACTTCGAAGTGATCACCAACCAGCCCTCATCCCCCTTCAGATGGCCCATGTGCTGCAGGGCAATGCTTGAAACCTGATCGCGGGTAAGACTTGAATCCAGCCTTGAAAGGATGGCCATCAGGCGTCGCAAGACTGTTTCGTCCTGTGCTCCACCTAGTATGTCGTATATTTGCTTCAGTTCTTTCGTCCAAAACAGCATTGACGTGGGGTACCGACTCCGTGTTGAGTCAAGCCAGGAGTCCTTTTCCTTCAGCGATGTTTGGCTTCGTTTCAAGATTGCCATTGCTTCATCGAGGTACTCGTGGCCCGCGGAACATGACATCGCTTCTGAACCTGGGAGAGGATATCCAACTGCGTAGCTTTCCGCAAAGTTGGATCGCGCAGCCATCATCACACGATGCTGGTTCAAGAATCCCTCAACCGCGCGAGCATCTGCTGGATCGTCATGCTGGATCATCCCCATGCGTTCAACCAAATCATCAAGTTCTTCATCAGCGGCACAGCGATCTTCCATCGTTCCATTTGTAGCCAGCGTATACTGAAGCTGCAGTGACAATTTGGGGGACAAACAAATTGAGAACACTCCACTGCGTTGAATAGATTTAAGTTCGGCCCCAATCTTGGCATTTTCATCGACGCCATCACAGAACCAGCCCCGCAACAAAGACAAAGAGCCTTGGACTTGCTTCAAATTGTCGTGGCCACCATTTTCCATCCATCGAGACATGTCCGAGTTTGATGATATCTTTTCAAGCATGCTTGGAACGCTTTCCTCACTTTGAAGTCCTCCCAATGCTGAAATGACTCGGACAGTTGGCTCCAAAGCATCCAGGACCGTCATGTAGAAAGAGTCCTTATGATTACCGAGGGTTATGTTTGTGACGTTTTCGAATTCGAGATAGAATTGGTCTAGTCCCTCTTTGCCCAACCACTTGTTGTCTCTTGAGAATACCCAGACCTCGCCGTGATGGGAAAAGCTGCCAAGGAAAGTGAACAACCCTCTCAGTCGGCGCAGATGGGTAAGTACCGTTGAAGGATCCTGTGAGCAGTCTCCACAGTCAGGGTGCAGCGTTGAATCAAGCTGCAAGCATAGGCCATGAACGACTTCAACTTTTGGATCCGAGGAAGAGGAAGACACAAGCGAAGCCACCAGCGTCTTCAGCACAGAAAACAATTCGTCTTGAATTACTTTGAATTTCATTTGCTCACAGAAGTTCAGAAACTCACTGAGTGGCCCTTCAATCTGCATGAAGGACGCCACAATTAGGAATCGATTGACGTCTTCGTCGGTCAACCCACACTCCGGACGCTTCAACAGGACGGAGCATTCATGTTCCAAAACCCCTTCCGCCATGGAAATGCCATCAAGGCTCTTCTTGAAAACCTCGAAGTCACAACCCGGGGAGAAAAGATCCTGTATAGATTCAAGGGTTGAATCGACGGCATAAGAAAGATCCTCAAGGTCGACCTGCCCATCCAACAACTGGCCGATCTCTCCTTCGAAGATCTTTGACTTGTGCTGTAGAAAAAAATCGCATATGGAAAGAGAATGCCAGTAGGATGACCGTAGCGACTCTGCCACAAGAGCATCCTCACGCAGTTGCTGCAATGCCACAGTTTCGCGAACGTGCAGAAACATCGTCGCATCATCCAACCCTTCCGGTGCGAAAGAGGTCTGATAGTTTTCGTGGGATATGGGGCAATAGGTTGCAATAACGCGTTCGAATTCAGATCCTTCACTTTCGACCCAATCATAGGCTTTCAAGAGGTCAACCAACGAGCAATTCCAGTCGGGAGACGCAGCCAAAGACTCAAGAATTGAACCCACGAGTTCCTCCAAGTCTTTAATTTTGGAAACTATGTCGTCCAGCGATGGCAGCATCTTTGAATTATTCCAGTGCGTCTCAAGCACAACCCAAAAGGGAGAGGCCGCACATAACTTTCCTTCCTCTAGATCTCGAAGCAAGACAGCTTCTGCTTCAAATCGTGATATCCACTCCATGACCAGTCGCAGTAGATGCTCCTTGAAGTTGAACATAGGATGAAGCGTCGTGTTGACTTGGAAGCATCGAGCACACAAATCGATGGACATCCCCTTTAGACGGGACAGTTGGATAAGAGAAGTTGGCTTCCACTGATTGAAAGTTTTGGAGATGACTTGTCTGACAAGAGCTTGTGTGTCCCTAGTAGGATTTTCATCGAACGCAAGGTCGAGAAGGACCACAGCAGCTCGGTCAAAGCTCGAGCAAAAACCCACAAGAGCTAGGCGTAGATGGCTGCATAAACAGAATCCGAATGATCCCGATGGATTCTGGGCAAGGCGAAGCAAAGCGGTCGTGACCACTCGAATGTTGCCAAGCACGTCTTCACTTGAAAAGGTGTCAACAGTACGCGCTACGACTTCGTCCGCACATCCTTCAAATATGGGCATCGTGCTAAGAGACAGCAGCAGCAGATCTTCAAGCTTTTCTCTGCATGAATGCAATGGCAACGCCTCGATCAATAAGCCCACGACTACGTCGTACTTTCGGCGGCTCCAGTCAGTCCCGTGATTGCCGCCAGCCATTTCTGCATGGAGTATCGTGAGCAAGCGTAATTTGCCACCGAATTCGATTTCAGGATGCTGCATGGATCTCTCCGCGAAATTTACGACGCGTAGTAGAACACGCTTTCCTTGCATGAGTTGTGAGCCAAATGGCGATTGCAATAGGGAAGAGAGATCTGACACTATCTGGGGGTTGCACACCATGAGATCTTGCCGAAGACACTCACACAAGGCAAACAGAGTTTTACTGTACAGAGTCGTCTCTTGGCTTCCAGCAGCGATCACACTGTAAATTTTGAAACGCTGACAATCGTCATAGCTAGCAAGTCGTGCGAGCCGATCAAGCACTTGTCGACATTTCCCGTCCGTCAATTGGGTGGGACACGCCTCCGACAGAACAACAAATACTTTCTGCCATTCCTCGGAGCAATCTATACCCGCAAGGTGCTTCTTGACGAGGCCACCGGCGAGTTTTATTATCCACTCGGTGACATGAGACTCCAGAGATACGGAGTGCGGTAGGTCAAAGAAGGTGTCGTGTATCTGCGAATGACTTGGTTGCAACAAGAGAGCAATCGTGTTTGCACGCTGAACGTCAATCAACGACATCAACTCGTTTTTGTGCTCCCCGACAAAAGTGTTCAAAAGGAGCACTCGAATGTGCTCCCAGAACTCCCAGTCGACCTCTTTCTGGACCAACATCCCCGAGTCATTCCAGTAGAAGAGAGTGGCCACCCAGAACGATCCCATTGAAGCTTCAGTCTCAAGTAAGTCTGCGACCGCCTGCTTTCCACCGCGGGCAACCAATTCGAGCACCATGGCAGAAAAGAATTGCCCGACGATTCTGTGTGGCTTTTGTCGGCGCAAGAATTTGCTGTGTTTGCACATGAGACCAACTGCTCGTTTCTCACTGATATTCATTTTGGCCAACGACACCACAATTTCATTGAAAAGCTGTGTCCCTACGTCCCTTTCTCCAACCAAGTGCCAAATCTCCATGCATACCGCGAGTCGCATGGGTCCAGCAGAATTGTTTTTGAGCCAGTCCACGACCTGTGTGACCGTCTCATCGTCGCATTTCTCCTTGCCATTTTCTTGGACAAATTTTATCGCACTTTGGTATCCTTCATGGTTGTCGTCTTGTGACCAATTCTTGGCCTTGAATAGCTTCATCAGTTCTGGCTCACCCTTGACCAACGATGAAACAGAACTCACCAAATAGCCACCAAGTCGACCCAGACCCCCCCAGCTGCTTCTCTTGCTTTGCTTGGTTTCACTCGTGCGCTGATTTGATTCCACCTTTTTTGCCGAGACCTTGTCATCGGGAGCATCTTCGAATTGTCCATCCGTTACAGATGCCCCCGAGACGGACGTGGCAGTGGGACTAGGCTGCTGCTCACTCCAATTCGCCTTGAGAGCGTCCACATAAGATCGTGTTGCTGTGTTGTCTCTGGTTCTTTTTTCTTTCATTTCGGCATCTACATTTGTTTCACACAGCAAAGGATCATTTGGCATTGCAGGTTTCATTCCCTGGATTTCCTCAATGTAAATATCAACATTACACCATCGAGAAAGTTTATTGACAACCGCTTCCGGCAGGCAAAAGACTGGCTTGGCACAGTCCACGTTAGGATGCTTTGAGACAATGATTGCAGCAACATTCAATTTCCCAACCACTTCCACAAATCTGTCTACCTCCGGGCGAAAGCTACAAACGCAGACTTTTCCGCCTAGCTGATCCCGATTGAGAACACCGGCCAATTGTTTGTCGCTGTTCCTCCAAAAGTTTGTTTTTCTGACTTGAAACTTTTCCCTCCTCGGGACGGTCGTCTTATTGTTGCCCTGCCCAAACCCAACCTGAGAGTCACTGGCAACTTTTTCAAAAGTTTGTGTCTGAGGAACATCCCTGGAACTCCCTCCTGCACTGATGAACTTGACCGTGATGTTATAGTAGAAAACGTTCTTCATGGTAGTGTCTGTTCACCGTTGGCTTGGACCACGAATTCTCCTGCTTCACTTCCACCAACAGAGAGCCCAGGTACAGTACGACTCGACAAAGTTTTCTTCTCTTCTCTTCTTGCAGTATTTCCTAGTAGTTATATCTGAATAACAATAGTTTCTTCTACGGAGGTTTGGAAGCGAGAGGAGCAGCAAAAATGGAGCGAAGATGAGCAAAGAATCAATGGAATGGAGATACAGTATTCAAAGCAGAACAACAGCAGAAAACAGTTTCCCTTCCAACCGTCCCTGGAAGCTAGTTTCCTTCCCTCTACAAACTCCTTCCGCCAAATATGCAAGTCTTCGCTCGATCAAACCGCATCATCGCATTCGCCATGGTCGACTTACCCTCAACTTTTTTGCCGTGGCAGAATTTCTTCTGTTCGAGCAAGATTTTGAGATGGCTCCACGCCTCTCGAAAGATCTTTCCCAAACCTACTCATCGTGCGTGCCTCTTGAGTACCTATGTACTAGTACTGCAGCGAAATAATCAAGACTGAAGCATCCGATGGCATTGGCTTTGTCTCCACAGGATCAATCTGTCTTCTTCAATCTCGTGTTCTAACTACAAAGTTGGATCCACATGTTTTCGAGCGAGGGGTGAAAAGATATCAGATGTCCGGCTCTTGAAGACTACCGGTATTCATTCAAAGAGTACATTCGTACCGTACGCTACCTACTGTAACTACTACTAGCTAGTCGTAAGGCACAACAGAATCTTTGGATACACAAAGGAACCCATGGGACGCATGCAACAGAGGCATTGCACGATGGATACCACGATGTTGCCAATGCGCCTACCGTAGGAAGTGTATCGGAGCGTAGCTGGCAGCAACAGTACTGTACGACACAGAGAATGATGCGATGTTACTACCATAACTCTGTAGTGGTTCTCTCTGTATATGATTCTCTCCGCCGCCACAAAGCCCATGAGCAGGCCCATGGTTCGTACACAGCATGATTACAATCTTACGATCTCCTTGCAGCACCGATGCCTCGGCAGGTATAGAAATAAATCATGGGGCTTCATTCAAACGGAATTAATGGTGCGCAGCAATCGTCTCCGGGGACAACAACAAATGAAGCTTTTGAAAGGCATTCATCTTTCTGTGACCATCCAAGCTTTCTTGTCGACCTCAATTGAACGTTTTCCAATCCTCCTCAAGCGGTGGCGACTCGACTGGTGCTTTGGATACAAAGCAGCACAGACACCATGAAACAAAACTTATGTTGATGCCTGCTCCTCCATAGCGTATCGGTACCTGGTATGGTAATCTATGGTATTGATGGTCAAATAAATCAGGTGGGCTAAGGATTTACAGGTCTACCGTAGCAATGGGCTTCAAGAGAACGTTCGAATGCCGAGTCCAGGAGAACCGAAGAGAACTGAATATAAGACTGCCGCAAACGCTGCCAAGATGACCAGAAATACAAAGAGTTTGATCATGGCATCTCCGTCGGCTAGTTCCTTTCCGTCCAACTCCTCCTCTTCTAGTTCATGCGCACTGGCATCCTTTTCCTCCGGCAAGCCCTTCTGGTCTCTGGATTCCTCGTCAAAGTGCGACTCGTCTTCTTCATTATACTCGCCACTAGCAGAGTGATGGAGGAAGTCCCCTTTGTTGGAAACCAGGGGACCTCGCAGGAGATCGTTCTCATGTTTCAAGCAGCACCTGCGCCACCAACGCTGGATTACCATTGCTGATAGTTCCGTCTCCTCCGAGTTGGTAGCACCTTGATCCACAAGCGAGTGGACCGTTCCATCACTGTTTGCTTCGTGTTCTTGTTCCCGAGCCGCGTCTTCGAGATTGAAAGACAAGTTGAATCCGTACTCTCCGTCTTCCGAGTTTTCCTCGGTGGTGGCAAGACTTTCATCCAGAGAATCCGCCCCTGTCCAAAGCCAGCCATGCTTTTGGGTGGGCACAGGCGAGTCGACGTCCTCTGAAATTGAATCTTCTTCGTCTTGAGCAAGCCTCAAGAATAGCGAGAGGCCAGCTTGCTGCAGAAGCTGAAGCAACGAAACATAATTTCGAACCGTAATGTCGTGAGGGAGACATCGAAGAATGGGATCCACGGCATCGCAAAGCCCAGCCTTGACGAGAAAGGCGCCGAGGGGGCTTGAACTTTGGCAGGCTTCCTTGCAAATCATATCCTTGTTGGATTCCAGCACTTTCCTTGTGAACTGGCTCAAGAGATCCGTCGTCTGTCTTCGATGAGTGGCAAAGAGTCGATCGATTCTTTCCCTAATGATGGATTGACGAATCTCGCTGATCGTTTCAGTTGCTGACAAGGTGCAGTTGGCGAACAAATATCCTTCGGTTGCAAGCTGATAACAGAGGTAATGGACCAGCTCTGCAATTTGCTCTCGATTCAAAGCCCTCAGAAATTTCCATTGGGCAGAATCCAACTCTGGGAAACCGAGCTTTTCTGGCAGCTTGGTAGTGTCCACAGCAGTCAAGCGTACACGAGCCAGCGCCTCTGCCAGACAGAAAAATTGACAGGAACCCTTTGAGGCAAGGATTTCAAACAATGCGCAAAGCGCTGTAAGCATGGAAGAGACAGCTCGGTGGCTGTCAAGACTTTGGAACTTCATTTTGAGTAGCCCTTCAACACCCTTGTCTCTTGCTACCATACCAAGCTGGTCCAAGGTCTCCTTTGCCTTCCTGACCAATTGAAAATCTTGCTCTCGGGCATAAAATATTCCAGAGTCAGCAAGCACCAGCTCCAGTTCATTGCTACGCTTTTCATGGTATCTGTCACCATGAAAGAAGAATCTTTCCCGAAGGTGGGTCACGGGGTCCAATATGCATCTGGGTCGGTCAGTGTAGGTTGATGACAATGCCAAGAGACTCTCAAAGGACTCCAGATTGAAAGTCTTGGTGCCGTTATGCCATGAAGCACTTGCAATTAACTCAAGCTCGGGCATTGGGAGCAAAGGCAGTAAATTCACTGCTATAGAACCAACACACCCTGTCAAGATGGTATTGGGCAGGATGAACTCACTTTCACGGGTTCTTTCTCCTTCCTCGTCTTGAAGCTCATGGACACGGGTCACTAATGCATTGTACTTGACAATAATGCTCCTGATCACCCGGAAGAGGAAATCATTGCCAAGTTCGTCTAGATGGCCACCACTCACAAGCTCCATGACAGTCGCATCATTCAAAGTTGTGAAAGCAAACTCGTTGCAATTCCAAGACAATTTCGAAGTTTGAAGCGACTTGTCCATCTTCCTAGACAGCCGTTCCCAAAGGCCAGCAAGACATAATGCATGCATCTTTTCAAAACGTTTGAGAAGGTTGTCTCGTGTCATTAAGTCCCCTATTATACTTGAACGGGCATCTTTCCTTGTGACTTGATGCTTGAAGGTATCATGTACCCAGAGATAGAACTAATTGGACCAAAAGGGGAAAAGTTAGTACCCAAAAAGAAGGCTCCATGTTTGAGTATTGTGGAGCAATCAATCTTACCTCAATGAGATCTGGTAGGAGGGATAATTCCTCCAAGAGACTTGACCCATCCAGAAGAATTTGTATGTAGCGAGTCTGACTAACAGACGTATCCCCTGATTTCATGACAATTGCTGCTGGGGCTAGTGGTTGTATATCAGGCTCTTGCTGGATGAAGAATTGTAGTGTAGGCAACTCAAAATCAGCAACCTCATCCCGTGTTGCTAGTTCTTGACACCATGGGAACATGTTGAGTTGACCTCCTGGTGCCGCTAGTGAGGCCAATGAATTTGCCCCACTGCGATGCTTGATCATTGCTAGGAAGAATGACTTGTATCTTGTGTGAGGAAGGTGCATTATCTGGTCCAGCATGGAAACCCCAATTTGTGCATGTGTACTGGTCAGTGCTGCAGCCTCTCCATGTTCCACCAGCTCTTGGGCTACCTTTGCTACAAAGCACAGCATTTGGGAATCCAGAGCCAGAGCACTAAGTGCGGACCCTGCCAGTTGGTCTTCAGGCTTTGTAGGATCAACAGTTGTCTCCAATTCTATACCCTTCATCAGCAACTGGAGAAGATCTGAGGATGGCATTTTGCCGGCTGCTTTCAACTGGATACGCAATATCATGTCAAACACTACCACTGAAAAGTTCCCATCAAAACAGTGCTCATATGACGAGAAGAACTCTGGGTAGTACATCTCATCATCTGAAATAAGCCTTGCAGAACCATGATGCAATGATTCAGATGATGAGGCAAGAAGCCAAGAGGGGATGAAGTGAGGAACAGACACTCTCACTCCTGTTTCAGTAAACTCCCTCAGCTTTTTACACTGGAGTAGAGAACTGATCCTGGTCAGGGCTGGCTTGGACAATCCGAACCAATCAGTCCCACCACTGTTTGAGCAAGCCCTTTGCAGCAAGGACGAGGAAAAGTGAGATTCTTTGCTTGGCATATCACCATCATTGATGATTCCTGCCAATGCACACAAGTCTTGATCCAAGTAGTCTGGCATAGCTTTCATCAAATCAGGGCAGAAGTTGCCCCAAAGTAGAGACTCTCGAGTCTTTTGGTGACCGCCGATACAGGCCAAGAAGTCCGAAAGAGAGATTTTTTTTGCCTCCTCTCGGAATACCTTGTTTTCGTCATCATACCACTGAGCAAGACTTGAACGTAGCATGTCTTCTGATACCGGCACCCTGGTGAAGACAAGGAAACCAACGAGGATTCGAATGCGAGCTCCTGTGTCTCCTAAAGACAAAATGGATTGGTCCACAAGTCCCGTGACAACTTGTGAAAGGAAGGATGAAAGCTGAATGCTCCAGGTTGAATCTGGCTCCAGGATGCTTGGCAAAGTCTCCTCAAAATGCTTCAACATGATGGTAACAAGCTGCATCGAAACAGATCTATCTTGTGCACGTATGGATTGTATCAGTTGTGTTCTATCAAGATTGCCTTGTTTTGTTGCCAGTGCAGCCGACCATGATGTGAACCTCAGGAAGAACACTCGGGTCTCATTGGCGCGAAGGACACAGTGCAGCCCAACAAGATTCCTCTTGGCACCAACCTTCAATAGTTCTTCCCTTAGCCACTCCAGTGCAACCTCAGTAGCTTCACATCCTGTTGTATGTTTCACAAAGTGCTCCATGTACAACTGGAAGACATCACTGTCACACCCAGTAGGGCAAGCTTCTTGAACCAGCTTCACCACATTGGCCAGCAAGTCCAGACGATGGGAATCAATCTGCCGATCCGCTAATTCCCTGGTGCCATTCCCAAGCAGGTTCATGGCTGTGTCAAACAAACCTTTTGTGCAATGATCACTGGGCACTCGAGTAGTCCCTGTGCTGTTTCTGTTTTCTGTCAACTCCATCTCACTCATCTCAAGACACTCGTCAATGCACGATGATATCATGGAGAAGAAAGGGAATCTAGCCTTTACCAGCAAGTTCTTCCCACTTGCTGGTTCGCGACTTGATACTTCCTGGTGCATGAAAATCTCACC